AGAAATAACCATTGAAACTAATATATCAGATTATATTGTTAGTATGTATATGACGCAATCCAGAGAAGACAGAAAGTCAAGATTGATTATATTTTATTTAAGAAAGTTGGTTTAAGCGGAACTCAACTACAATATTCACAATAAGAAATTGCTAGCTATAATAGTAGTATTCAAGCAGTGAAGGGTCTATCTTAAAGAAATAAAGCATACTATTATTATAAAGATAGACCATAAGAACTTGACCTACTTTACAATAACTAAAGAATTGACCAGAAGGCAGGCATGATAGGCTAAGATCCTGTTATAATATGACTTCAGAATCATATACTGTAAGAGAGTAAAGAATAGATATGTAAATATACTAAGCCGCAGGCCAGACTATAAATTAAGTAAAAAAGTTATTAAACCAGCCATTCTGAAATAAAATACAGATGGATTGATTAGTTATAACAAAGCCAACTTAACAGTAATATTAGAAATAGATAATAATCTAATCAAGTAATTAGCTAAAGATATAAAAAATAATAAAATACTCTAAGAAATAAGCAAGGCCTTACCAGACAAGATTATCATTAATAAAAATAGACTAGTCTATTTTTATAGATTAATCTTTTCACTAACCGCAATAAGGATAGAGATTATGGCTAGACATTATGATAGACTATTTAAGGATTATTTAGAAATGGAAAAAATAACTGAACTAATTATAAGGAATTATTATATTCTGAATCTCAGATAGAAAGTATATAATTATATTAAACAATATAAAACTTATATTAAAAATAAACTTATAAGATACTAATCCTACAGATAAATATAAGTACAGAAGGCGTCATAATAGCTATAAAAATAGATAATAATTAACTTTGTTAATCTATTATCAGAATTAGAAGAATTTAATGCTATTATAGTTATCACTGATCATCTTATTAAATATATTTATCTTGTACTAAGCAAGATAATAATAATATTAATACAGATAGTAGAACTGTTTTTAAAAAATATTATTATATATTATAGGATGCTAAAATATATTATATCAGATTAAGATAAGTTATTTATCTTAAAGTTCTGGAGATTACTTACAGATCTTATAGAAATAAAAGAATAAATAATAATAGCTTACTATCCGTAAATAAATAAGCAAATAGAAAGAGTTAACTAGATAATTAAATAATATCTGAGGCATTACATAAACTATTAGCAGAATAATTAAATAAATCTATTACTAATAATACAGTTCTTATATAATAATATCAGTTATTTAATTATTAGAGTCTTACTGTTTTACACTAATTACAGATATCACTCGAGGTTTCTGGAAACGCTATTAGAAAAGTAATAAGTTATTAATATAGCTAAGAATATTATTATATTTATAGAAAACATATATTTATAGTTATCTTAAGATATTAAGTTCATGAACTTGTGTAACAAGATGTACTATAATCACAAATATGGAAGAGAACCTGACTTAAAAAAAAGAGAGAAAGTGTTCTTACTCTACAGAAATATCAAGACAAAATAACCAAGTTAAAAGCTTGACTATCACAAGCTAGGACTATTTATTATTAAAGACAAGAAGAAACCAGTCAACTATAAGTTAAGATTGTCAAAATCAATAAACAGAGTTCATCTAGTATTTTATATCTTATTGTTAGAACCCGCACCAAAAAATGCTAGAATCATAGAAAATATAGAGATTGACAATAACACAGAGAAAGAATATAAAGTCAAAAAGATCCTGGACTACAAGAAGATTAGTGACAAGTCAAAATATCTAGTAAAATAGGTAGGATATGATATCTCAGAAAACACGTGGAAACTTATCAAGAATTTAATAGGGTGTTACCAGCTTATGGAGCAGTACCATCAACAGACAGGTCGAAGTTCGTCCAGAATAAAGGGGAACCAACCAACTAAGTCAGACTAGGAGTGTCTGACGCAGCGGCAAGTTGAGCAGTATTGTGTTTGTCAGCCAGACACTCTAGCTCTCGGAGATCCTCAGTGCTTGGGAGATCCTTCTCATCCAGCCGCTCCAACACAGTCAAGTCGTGATCCAATATCTGCTTATCATGATCTTTTAGGAACTACTGTTGCTTAAACAAGCGAGCCACTTTGGCAGCAATACGGGCCTGTTCAGCAAGGGCCTCAGCAAGTTTGTTTTATATATCTGATTAATTATGTTTTAATTTATTCCACTTCCTATCACTGTAAAATTGTTTTTCATATTTTCAGTCATAACAAGTACAGGCAGCATAATTTTAGCTTTTTAAATCTATAATACAAGAGATGCCTCTCAAGAAATAATATTCGTAGGAATTTTCAGTGATAAAACTATTATCATAAATCTTATTAGACTAATAGATATACTTCTTTACCTGATCGTGATTAGCGCAACGACGAGACATAATAGACTATCATAAAAAAAAAAGAAATTAAAAAAACTCAACCAATACAGGAGGGACACGTATCTTTATATCTCTTGAGAACAAGAAATCTTAAAGAAAGGGGAGTGATGTTACAGACCCCTGCTAGCCAGGTTACTAGCAGAAGCAGACTTGTCAGGCAGAAAGGTAACAACCAGGAAGGACTCAGGCAGCCAGCAACTCTTATTAAGCAAGATCCCGGTTGGGATAATACCTAAGGTAACACTGTATTACGTGACTATCTACCATCAGATCTACCATCAAGGATATACAATATAGTATACGGAATCCAGGAATATGATTAGATTGATCCTCGATCTACCCTGAATGGTATACGAAATAGTATATAAAGAATAGGATATAAGGACACTCTTTTATGTACTTAGCTAGTTCTGTTCTTCATGCTCAATCCAATTATCTTTAAGTAATCATACATTTTGATAAAGCTTAGCGACAACGCTTGTCCGCACTTACTTACAGATAGCTGCACGGCACTATCTGGCCTTACTTCTCTTCTTCTGTTCAGATCAAGTCATCTTTAGATAGTCAACAACCTGACTACCTTTGATTCAGTTCACAAGGTACGTATCGGAACGGGAGCTAAGCTAACAGGAACAGGAAGAAGCGATCCTAGGGTTTGACAATAATCATTATCCTGTTTAATATTTCTATACTAACTGCTTAGTTAGAAAATAATATGAATTTTATAAAAACTAATTTATATAAGATCTTATTATTTAAAAGATTATATTAAAAGATTGCCAGTCCTCCGGAGTATGATAGATAATTATGATTATATAATATCTCTTTTCTATACTACTACTCTGCTTATATAGAGGCTGTTAGTAGTGATGCTTTAGATAGTTATCCAATTTATCTATTTCCACTGAATCCATGTTGTATCGCTTCAGTAGCCATTCCGACATGTTATGCAGCGCATGGACCCTTACAAAGAGGGTCTCTCCCAGTCGCAGCAACCTCTCGTCAGCGAATCAGGGAATAAACGATGGCGCCGTTCCCTCCGCGATCGCTGTGGACAGCTCCTGTCAAGGGGGATTCTGTCGTTATTCATCCGGACTACCAGCTGGCTGTGAAAATGACCGACGTACTATGTTTTCATTGTATACTGTACAGTATGGAGCAGCTAGCACCCTCATTAATCGCCTCAAAATGGCCTCCTAACAATAATAAATGTCATCGATGCAATGTATCCTTGAACGAAAACACCGAAAATCCCAATATTCCTGCTGGGCGGCTGCGCCGATCCCGGAGGCTATCGCGTTGAATTTTTTTTCATTATCGATCATGTTTCTCAAAGGATCTGTATAGCCTCTTTCAGGTCAAGACTGCTGACACCTGTGTACAGTACGACTATTGTTGGTGGCGCTCACTGATCTGACATCGCTCGATACACGTAGCGGAACTTCCCGCTCGGGATTTCACTACTCCAATTGTACTCCAAGTCTAAAATATGTCATACCACGCCCCGAGGGGCTGTTCAATCGCTCAGACGGAGTTTATCCTCAGTGTGGTCAAGTTTCATTAGAGGGGTGCCACATCCGGTGGTACTAAACAGGGGGGGGGGAGGCGCTTTACTGAATCCCACTGACCACTGCACATCTTTCCCGGAAGAAGCGGCTTTCCGGAGATAAAATCAAGAGAAACAAAGTACGGCGTAAGCCGCCGTGGTGGGGTTTTGGCGATTCCGCGATGGTCAATTCTCGATCACATCAGATTAGATCCGTTCAGAGTCTAAGATATCATTACCCAGAAATGACTCGGGGAGCTCCACGCCATCCACAGTAATCAACAGGGGCTAAGATCTCGTGTGTGTACTGGTATATTATGGTATTATTAAGGCTTTGTCATGTCATGTCATATTACGTGTGTCAGACTATCAGTGACACACCTAGTAATTTCTAGTCATCTATTATAGATCAAATTTTACGCTGTCTTACAAGGATCACAGGGAAAACTTGGGAATCCCATATACGAAAACGTCCCACCCGCTGTGTCGGGATCCGTTCTTAGTGCGACTGAACCCTACCAGAGTACAATGAGTTACTGACTCGGCTATCTGGCAAAAGCCTAGAATTCTAATTTCCGTAGCTTAGAACGCGTATTACGTATAAGCTTAGGTAGAACCACAGGTACTCCACGGGTATTTCCACCCTCTTCGCCCTCCCGGGCCGTCAGAGCTAAAACACCCACCGCCCCGTAGAATGCCAGTTCTTACAACTATTTTCCGGTAGAAGACTGAATATGGCACAGGTGTACGCATGTGGCTAATGTTGGAACCTATTCACCTTGAAATTGTTCCATTAACCTAAGAGGTATCTCTTTTGGTCTAGTTGGGAAATTCCATCAGCTAATGCCAGAGACTTCGGGGTCGGTTGGTACTATGTCGCGGTGGGTGATGGGGGACTGTATGCAAGCCTAAGCGATATATATATACGGAGTAAATCGGTCAATCGCAACTAAGAGACCCAAGCTCATGATAATATACATTTAATTTCAGCCGTATTCAGAATTCATTCTAGTATATGTACAACCCAATCCAGTTCAACTATCCTACTGCGAAGGTAGCGGCCAATCCTCAAAGAACATCGTCAAGCTGCGGCTCATCGAACAAGCCATCACGCTGGTATGCTCCTCGCCTTCGTACTGGCTCATCAGTATGGAGTGCAGCCGGTCCGAACCCCCCAGCATCTCACATAGCTCAATGACGTTGTCTCCCATGCGCAGGTCCGCCGCGATTTGCTTGCGCCCCTCATAGTGGTCGAGGGGCTCATCAGCCCACTGTGGAGGGTTCTGCTCGAAGGACCCGAAGAAGGTCATCAGGGACGGCGGCTTGATGGGCGGTGATCCATCAGCCTTGCGCTCTTGCTGCTCCTGCTGCTGCCCTAGGAATGCCCGAGCCTCCTTCAGGATGCACCGGCTGTTCCACCAGATGGATGGGCTGCTCGCCATGTAGCAGTGGAAGGAGTCCGGGCGCGTGAACAGCGCGTACAGAGCCAGCAGGCCCCCGTACGAGTGGCCGTAGAGCGCCTCACGCGAGCAGGTGAGCTGCGGGAACTGCGCCTTCACCGCTGGCCGCACCTTGTTCGTGATAAAGTCCAAGAAGACATCCGCCCCGCCGTATCCCGGGATCGGTCCGTCTGTCGGCGGCGTGAGGTCCAGGCTGCGCCGTCGCGCGTCGTACAGCTTCCCCGTCAGCGGGTACCCGACCGCGACAATGATGCCCCCCCCTGCAAAGTGTGAGGAAGCCGCCCGTCGCCAGGCGGCCTCTGTTGCAGTTAGGAATAGGGCGTTCCCGTCGACGATGTATCTGCGGGATGATGGTAAGCTTACATCTTGAAGAGGTGTTTATAAACTCGACCGAGGGGTGAGGTGAGGGGAGGGTAAGGAGGAAGGACAGAGGAGGAGAGGGATGGCTCTCAATGATGGGAAGCGCGCCACGGTCCGTGGTGCGGTCGTCCTGCCAATGTAGCGGCCAAGAGATCTGGATCAGATACGTTTCACCCCGGTCATTTTCCAGATAGAGTTGCTTCGAATTAGGAAGGGCGATTGGAGTAATCTCACCACCCATCTTACTATAATTGTTACGGTAGTGGTGGTTGATGGTGGGATGTGGCCAGCGGCGAGGGAACGTCCGATGAGGGGTTGTTGGGGAGCCGAGTCTCCCAGCAAGAGGGATGCAGATGTGACTGAAGGGAGGCGGCGGCTGCGCAAGCGTACTACTCGGTCGGCTGGGACTACGTTAGAGAAAGGGCTCTTTCAGTCTGGCCTTAAGAGAAACTCCGGACTAAACCCGAGGACCGAAGGGCTGACTTACCCGAAAGGGAAGGCCCGGGGCCCAGGCAGTGCTTGGCGCGGGTTGGCTTGCTGGGTGATAAGATTTTATCAGATCAGATTAGATACATCTCCATCACGGGCCGGTATGTATTGTCTTGGGCACGGGTCGCTCACTGTGCTCCTGGGCGCCCAATCGGATCGGGAAAATGGACGGCGAAGGGTGGCCCGATACGCTCCCACCATAATAGACCGGGAAGATTTGTGACAGAGCATTCTGTCGAGGTCGTCCTACCCAGTGTTGATGAGGTCCTGGGGGCGCTGAAAGGTTGGATTTCGTCGTTATGCAATGAAGCAGAAACTCGAGTCAGGGACTCCTATGTGGAGACAATTCAAGCATTGGCTAGATGGTCATAGAAAGTTCCCGCCCATCAGGGTCAGGTTGATCTTGGAGTCCCTTAAGCCCATAACTCAGTCAACCGGCCTACCCCTTATGCCAGTCGGGTCTGGGCCCAAGGGTCGTTCCGAAACCTCGTATTCCCTTCCGCTCTTCCCCGTCGTCTCGGACAGAGCTGTGGAAAGTGGATACCCATCACACCAACCACCCTCACTTCCCAGAAATCTCTGCCAATTGGCTGCTTGCGGGTACGGGTGGGCGGTGGCGCCCCGATGGGAAAAAAAGAGCATATACCTTTTTCAAAGGACGGGTGAGTGATGACACCGGTCCATCGCCGAAGAGAGAAACAAAATTGGTGAATTACCGCTAAAATCCTTCTCAGGATCGGGAATCGGCCGCGCTACCCAATTGTGGACTAGTATAAGGAACACTAGTCTAGATGGGTACAGCCACTACGTACGGTATCAGTACTGTAAGGTACCGGCATCGATTGGCGATCTAGCTCGAAAAACGCGACCTGACTACTTGGAGTCAGTTATGCGGCTTACTGGTGAGAAGTGGGCCTGAGCCGAGTTACGTACTATTCTGCTCATTATTGTGAGCCAGTGATCATTACCCGCAGAAATCGTCACCTTTTTTTCAACAGGCAAGGGAAGTCAAGAGTGTGCGAATAATAGCTAACTTGATGAATATCACACAGCGTCTCAGTGACCAGAGTGTTTACCCTTCCCTGTTCCCCCACCCTCCGGCCCGTCACCCAGCTTGATGACCCAGCAGGAGACAGAGGGAAAACAATAGGCTCGTGGCAAAGATAAAACTGGAAGCAAACCGTGGTTCAACAGGGGCTAGATCAGCGGAAACGAGAAGGGACTCGGACCCCTTTCTTGCATTGTATTGAGTCAATAAGTCTCCCTACCAGCGTAAGCTAACAGAACCACCATCAAAACTATCTGGTATTTTGCGTTCTGCGGGTAACAGGTGACCTGTCTTCTTGTTTCTAAGATACCATACATATCTTACAGTTCGAATTGGAGTCAATAGTGTGTCACTGGCCCGTTGGTGATTCAGTAGTCGGCCTCCCTGACAAGCTGTACCCCGAGTGAGCCCTAATCAGATGAAGATGGAGACGCAAACCACCACCTCTAACAATTTTCAGTTCGGATCGTGTGGGCCGAAGAATCCTCCGTCATGGTTCGGATCTGATAAAAGAAGTTACTGCTCGGTCACGGCCAGCCTTTCATCCGAAGTCGGCCCATTGCATTAGAGGGATGGTGAGGACAACGTGATAGCCTGATCGTGGTGCCTTGTGGTCAGACTTAGCAAGCTACACGACATCCACAAACCAAGCTAATTGCAGGGATCCCTTCCTCACCCCCTTCGACATCTTGGTCTTTTCCATAATCGGTGCCAGAGGATTGATCAAGCAAAAAAAGGAACAGAGTTCTGGCACAATATGGCTGCCACGGCAGAAGAATCTGCAAAGGCAGACGTACCAGCAAAGCCCAGCGTAAGCTCCTATTCACTCCTTCACACTCGGCATGCTGTAGAAGCCGTGAGAAATAATCAACGGATTGTCGTCGTACGATGTCTAGTTATGGCGCCGCGCCACCCTGTTTGCCAGGTTGCTGGTCTACAGCAACCCGTCGACCACGGATCTCCTGGTTCTTTTCATCGGATTCATCGCAGCGATTGCCGCCGGAGTGCCCTTCCCGATCATGTCCATCGTCTTCGGAGAGCTGGTCAACGGCTTGGACTCAGCCAGCTGTGAAGTCAGCGCCACCACGGCTGGGGCGTACCAGGCCGGCCTCAACCACAAGATCCTGTTGATCGTCTACGTTGGCATCGCCTACTTCGGGCTCATCTACATCTACTCTCTCTGCTGGAACCTCTCCGGTGAGCGCCTGGCGCAGCGCCTGCGGGACCGGTATTTCAGCTCCATCTTGCGTCAGGATGCTGAGTTCTTCAGCAAGCTCTCCGCCGGGGAGGTCTCCGCCCGCATCACCGGCGACATCGCAGTGGAGCAGCAGGGGACCAATGAAAAGGTCGGCATCGTGATCAACAGCGTCGCCTTCTTCATCACCGCGTACGTGGTGGCCTTCATCAAGGATGCCCGGCTGGCGGGGATCCTCGTGTCCCTGACCCCCGCGTACCTCCTGATGGCGCTGAGCGGCGGGTTCTTCGTGCAGAAGTACTTTGGGAGCGCGCTGGAGAGCATGGGCAAGGCCTCTTCCGTGGCTCTCGAGGCCTTCTCCAACACCATGGTGGTGCACGCCTTCTCGGCCAACGCCCGTCTGGAGGAGAAGTTCGTCCAGCTCCTGCACCCGGCGCTCCGGGCTGGGGTGTACAAGTCCGTGGCCATGGCCACCCAGGCTGGACTCTTATACTTCATTGCGTTCTCGGCCAACGGCCTCGCCTTCTGGCAAGGCTCCGCACAGATCGCCAATGCCGTCGAGTCCTCCGGTGGCGGCATCTCCGTCGGGAACATTTTTACCGTCATTCTGATTCTCGTGGATGGTATGTTCCGTTGTGCCCCGTCCAACATCAAACATATGAACTGACCTTGCCCTCCCTCGGGTTTCCAATCTAGCTTCTCTGATTCTCAGTCAAGCTGCTCCGTTCTTGCGCAGCTTCGACGCCGCGGCCGTGGCTTTCCGCAAGCTAGAAGCCGACATTGACCACCGGTCGACCATCGATGGTACAACCGAGCATACTGGCCGTTCGCTGCCGGAGATCACTGGCACGGTCGAACTGCACAATGTCTCCTTCGCCTACCCGTCACAACCTGACCGGCCAGTGTTGCAGGATCTCTCCTTCATCTGTCCTGCTGGCCAGCAGACAGCGATTGTCGGTCTTTCTGGTAGCGGAAAGTCCACCGTCGCCGGTCTGATCACCCGGTTTTACAATGTCAATCAGGGCAGCGTGCTGTTGGATGGACATGACATCATGGAACTCAACGTGCGCTCCGTGCGAAGCCACCTGAGCCTCGTGCAGCAGGAGCCCTATCTGTTGGATCGATCGATCCTCGAGAACATCGCCTTGGGTCTAGTCAACTCGCCTGCGCACGCCTACCTGCGGCCCCTGTTGATGGGGACCGGGCTGGCCGAGATTGCCGCCGCGGTGCGCGACGGCCAGGAGCTGGTGACGGCGGCGCTCGCACACAGCGATCACGCGCGCGAGATAGTATCCTTGGTTCTCCATGCGGCGCAGTTGGCAGATGCCAACGGCTTTATTGAGCGGCTGCAGGAAGGATATGGCACGATGGTCGGCGCCAAGGGTAACCTGATCAGTGGCGGGCAGAAGCAGCGGATCTCACTCGCGCGTTCCTTGGTCAAGGACCCTCGGATATTAATTCTGGATGAGGCCACGGCCTCCCTTGACTCAGCGACTGAGCGACGCATCCAACAAGCTCTGGACAAGGTGGCGGTCGGGCGGACGGTAATCACTATTGCCCATCGGCTTGCCACGATCAAGAACGCCGATAACATCATCTTGATGCGGCAGGGACGGCTGATTGAGCAAGGAACGCACCAGAACCTGCTTGCTGCCAATGGCGCCTACGCAGAACTGGTCCGGTTGCAAAATCTCAACGTCCATGGTGGTGAGGAGGGGGAATCTGACACGGCGTGCTCCACTGCGTCTTCGAATGGAGTTCAAAAGCCAGAGACGGCGACCCTGGATGTTCTGACTGAGGTTGAGAAGCCTGCGCTGGTTCAGGCGGTGGAAGAGTCGAAAAATGGGCCCGAGGAAGAGGAGAATCAAACGGCTTCCTCGACCCTCTCCTCTTTGGGTTCGCTGTTCCGACCGCACCTGTTCGCTTTGGTCCTTGCCCTTACTGGCGCCGTCGTCATCGGAGGCACGTATTGTGGCTCCGCAATAATCTTTGGTAATGTCGTGAGCAAGCTCAGCGGCTGCGAGGAGCCCGCGGACATCCGCCATGCCGGCCATCTCTTCGGCCTCCTGTTCTTCATGCTGGCCATCATCGAGTTCCTGGCCAACTTCATCAGTTGGTCTCTGTTTGGCTGGATTGCAGAGCAGATCATCTACAAGGTGCGGGTACTGTCGCTGCGCACCATCCTGGAGCAGGACCTTGCGTGGCACGAGTCCAAGGACCACAACCCGTCGATGCTGCTAGGGCTGATCACCAAGGACAGCAGCGCGCTGGGCGGCCTCACCGGCTCGGTCGTGTGCACGATTCTCTCTACTCTGGTCAGCCTTGTCGCCACCATCACGATGACGCATATCATTGCCTGGAAGATCGCGTTGGTGTGCCTGTCGGTCGTGCCCTTACTTCTCGGGGCTGGCTGGATGCGTGTTACCACCCTGGCCGCATTCGAGGAGCGCCATCTGGAGGCGTTCGCGCATTCCAACGCCATCACTGTAGAGGCAGTCAACTCGATCAAGACGGTCATGTCCCTCTCCCTGGAGCATGAAGTGCTGGAGACCTACCGCCGCTCATTGCAAGCGCCCATGCGCCAGGTCACCGGGTACAGCGCGTGGGCCAACTTGTGGCTGGCCGTGGGCTACGGGCTGAGCAACTTCCTGTACGCGCTGGCCTATTGGTGGGGGTCCAAGCAGATCATCGCCGGCGAGTACACGCAACAGCAGTTCTTCATCGTGCAGCTGGCCCTTTTGGTCAGCTCCCAACTGTGGGGGCAGATGTTTGCCCTGGTCCCTGAGGTCTCACGCGCCTTCTCCGCCACCCGCCGCCTGCTGAACCTGCTGGATCAGGGCTCGACGCGGGACCTGGCGGCGCCGTTGCAGGGACAGGGGGATCTCGAGTCAAGCAGCAGTGAGAAGGGACCTGCCTCCACCAATACCACCGGTATCAGCGTGGCCTTCAAGCAGGTGCACTTCTCGTACCCGGCTCGTCCGGATACGACGGTGCTGCATGGCCTGGATCTGAGCATTCGTGCAGGCCAGTTCGCGGCGCTGGTGGGCCCCAGTGGTGCCGGCAAGTCGACCATCATCTCCCTGGTCGAGCGGCTGTATCGCCCGACGTCCGGCACCGTTGAGGTCGACGGGATGGACATCGCCTACGGGGATAGCAATGGCGCATTTCGCCACCAGATTGCTTATGTCCCGCAGCAGAGTGCCATGTTCGAGGGCACCGTCCGCTTCAACCTGATGCTAGGGGCGCGGCCGGGCCAGACCCCCACCCAGGCCGAGCTCGAGGATGCCTGTCGGCTGGCCAACATCCACGATACCATTATGCAGCTGCCTGATGGCTACAACACCGACTGCGGTCCCAACGGAGACCGGCTATCCGATGGCCAGAAGCAGCGGCTGGCCATCGCGCGCGCCCTCGTCCGCAAGCCGCAGCTCCTGCTGCTGGATGAGTCGACGAGCGCCCTCGACGCCGAGTCGGAGCGTCTGCTGCAGGAGGGATTGGATCAGGCCCGGAAGGTGATGACCGTCATTGCCATCGCCCACCGGTTGTACACCATCCGCAAAGCGAACGTCATTTTCATGATTGAGAACGGTCAGTGTGTTGACCGCGGCACCCATGCTGAGCTTGTTGAGCGCAGTGAAAGTTATCGCGTGAATGCCCTGAACCAGGCCGTCGGGGAGTGAGGGACAATAGAATCCGTTTTGCTCTCACCTTTTGTCTTCTGTATCATGTTTCTCCTGTGCTTACTGTAATGGTGGGAGCGATCCATTTTAAATTATTTAGAGGAAACCACGGAATTTATAATCAACGAAGTGTGCTCCGCATGTTCTCTGCATTAAGCCAGACGGGAACATATATATATATATATATAGCAGACCTCGACTCTCAACTCGCCCACTTTGTCTGTGGTAACAGGGGTGATAATTAGTCTTACATCTCAAATCCATCCAGACCTCGTATAGAAGGCAGTCTCGTTGGTGGGAAACGCCATGACAGCCCCCAGGACGCGTTATCTTTTGGAGTGTTGAGGGCAGAGCCCCCACTGACTACTAAACCGGCAGATTCAGCCGACGATCCTGATAGGCTCTCCACCGTTCACCCGGATGCACGGCCGGACCCGCGCCAATCAGAACGCCGGACGGAGCACTCGGGACTTTTACCCTGAAATGGGCTGCTGTTAGGCCAGCCGAGTCTATTTCCACGTGGTGCTGAGGCTCTTCAGATGCCCCCCCCCCCGAGATAATCATGCCCTTTTTGGGGGAGGGGGGGCGATCATGCATTTCTCTACTTCATTGACCTGGGAATTCTTCTTCTGCTCGTTTTTTGGAGGTGTCAACGACACACAATGTCACAAACCAGTTGTTGACATCTTACGTTCTCTGATACCTAATCCACCATGCATTCCTTAATAACTCTCCTCCCACTCCTAGTCACTCTTTACACCCTCATCCATGTTGCCCAAAGCCAACCTGACTTTGATCCCACTCGCGACGATGACCTCCTCTCATTCATAACAGTAACCAATTCCCCCATACCCCCCTGGATGCCACTCTACTCACCACCATATAGATGCCCAACACCCGAGCCATCAAATTCAACATCACCCACCACCATCCCTCCCTCATGAGTCCCGGGTACTGGTTCGTAGCCCCATACTGGTACTTCGAGCCCGATGCCCCGGACGGAAAATACGTGCCTTGCCAAGTTGGTCCGCACATCTATGATGGAAACGGCACTCTCATTTGGACGGGATCGTGTCTGCACCATAACAGGAATATATTTGACTTTCGAGCTACTCATCAATGGTATGATGAGGGGACCCGACTGTCGTTTATTATGCAGCAGAGCTATGTTAATGATGGGTCCCTGCTGAGTAAAGGGGCCGGTTATGTTCTGAATGACAGGTATGAGGTGGAAACGGAGATGCTTGTGACGAATGACCTGGAGCAGTTTGATCTTCATGAGTTTAATATTCTCCCTGGGGGACAGACGGCGCTGGCGGCTGCGCTGCGGATTCGTGACATGTCCTTGACGGAGTTGGGGCGGCCGATGGAGTCGAGTCGAGTGGCGTCGGGTGGGTTTGTTGAGATTGACCTGGCCACTGGAAACGTGTTGTTTGATTGGGACTCGCGAGAACGTATTCCTCTGCATGAGTCGGATCATGTCATGCCTTGGTCCCCGGCTGAGGGTGGCGGTGGCTTGGACTATATCCATGTCAATGCGGTTGATAAGAACACCAATGGGGATTATCTCATGTCAGCACGGTACACGAGTACCATTTATCTGATCTCCGGACAGGACGGACGGATTCTGTGGCGACTGGGCGGGAAATACTCCGATTTTGTCATGGACTTTACCTTTTCGAAACAGCATAATGCCCGGTTTGTTTCTGTGAATGAGACACATACCGTCCTGTCGTTTCTGAATAATGCTGCGGATGATTTTACGAACCAGGAGACCGTGTCATCTGCGATGATTGTCCAGCTGGATACGGTTCATCGAACCGCCACGGTTCTACAGCGTATCACCCGCCCAGATGGGGGATTGAGTCGCATGCGCGGCAATTTCCAGCTCCTCGACACGGGGAATCGGTTCGTGGGTTGGAGTGGGCAGGGATATCACAGCGAACATACCCCTGATGGCACCGTGGTCATGGAGGCAAGGTTTGTCTCGCCGCGCTTCAACAGCTATCGATCGTACAAGTTCCCCTTTCGAGGGAATCCGCAACAGCCCCCGGCCCTGGTGGCCTCGGTGTATGGCAGTGACGGGGAATATACTACCGTCGTGCATGTTAGCTGGAATGGGGCCACTGAGGTTGCACGCTGGAATTTCTATGCCCAGCTGGATGAGACGGCGCCGATCGTTCCCGCTGGCAATGTGACCAAGCTAGACTTTGAGACGGTGTTTGTGGCGAGGGGATTCCTGGATTGGGTGTCGGCTGAAGCAATTGATCGGGAGGGTCGCTCGTTGGGATGGTCGGTGGTTACTCGGACACAGGTGCAGGGGGAATTGCGATATGGCGGCTTGGAGAGACCCGAGTCTATGCTGGTGCCTGATGTGCCAGTGGTGGTGGATGAGCCAGTGATCGTTGAGGATCCCCCGGCCAGCCTGGCCGACTCTGGGGACAATCCTCCACAATCGGTCTCCCGGACGGTGAACGGCGCTGTGATGGGAGTCATCCTGCTAGCCGGGGTGGGAGTCGTAGTGGTGGTGAAGGTATTGAAGCGCATGCCTCGGAGGCGCCTTCGGTACTCGCGACTTGCATCGCCACGCGGAGAGATTCCCCTGGACAATGAACGAGGGGATTGAATGACGGTGGTGTCTTGCTCTTTCTACACACTCTTTCTTTTTTTCTGGTTAGGATAGATGCTTTTCTTTTTTGAGTAAGATTCAACCAGCAATATATACTAGACTTCCAACATTTTATAGACACCAACCTCCCACCTAACAACATCAATAACCCTCACATGCAAGACAACAACGCAACTACGTTGGATATCGACAACGTAGCATACTAAATAAATCCCCCAAAGCCATCGTATCTCACTCCTCCTTCTCCGCCTGCCCCTCTTGTCCCGGGCCATCATCACCTCCCCCCGTATCCTGCGGCATCCGAGAAAGCCAAAACCTCGAGATCAACCCCCCCAGATACTTCTGATCAATCCATTTAATCAATCCGTAGAACAGCCATCCCCATCCCCACATCGACACACCAATCATGCTAGAGACCAATAACACCGGACAGAGGATAAGCAGCGAGAGCACAGCCCAGAGCAGGATCGCGACGGCCGCAAAGACAAACACGCCGGCGAGGAACACCAGCAAGGGCACACCGCAGCAGAGCAGCTGGCAGATCAGGAAGGTCGTGCTGGCTGGGCGTCGGGCGGCCTCTTCGTACAGCTTGGCTTGTCGCGGAGCGGGCAGGATCCAGGATAGTAGCCACATGAGCTGCGACTCGAAGCGATCGAGCAGGCGCGGGAGGGATTGGCGGAACCATTGTCGGAGGGGGGCGAAAATGGGTCCGTTGTTGGTGTCGTCGCGCTGGGCTTCTTTGATGTGGTTTTCATCGCCTGGGTATTCTCCGGGGAGGACTGAGTCGGTAACCTGACCAGCTGTTTGAGTAGTTGTGTTGGGGGCTTGTTGGACGGTCGATTTGAGGTCGCCGGCCAGCTTGGGCGGACGGCCTTGGAGGCCGGCGGTGACGGAATTGAGAGACATTATGTCAAAAAAAGATGGGGGGAATGGACGGTGAATGAGGAGCTGAACAGGGGGAATCGAGGATGGGCGATGAGGGGAAAGTAAAGGAGCAGCATCGCGATGACGACGAGGCGATGACGTAGGGTCTTTGCCCGGATTGCCCTGACACGACGCGGAAAGACACCGTAGAGACCCTCGCACTCGGCCGGGCTGATGCGGGCCAGTTGATCAATGGGTCTACGAGATAATTGGTACCGTGTACTACATATTATGACTATGATCATCCCTCATCCATACTATGTTTTGTATACCTCTGGGGACTGTGACGCCGGAGTTCGTCCCCGCTGACGTCACCAACCCCGCCCTACCTTTTGGCACCGCCCCTGAATATATATCAGCCACAGCCATATACTATGTAGCTATCCAGACAGTGTGCATTCGGATTGGCCCTCCCTGCCCTTCCTATCATCTCCACTGGACCCCAGCACACTCCTGGCGCTAACGCTGGGGATGTCGGTCTCACTGCCGGACGTACTGGCTTGGCCCTCGCCCGCATGGCCCTGCGTCCCGATGCGTAAAAAGGCACACAAGGGAATCCCCACGGCCGAAATGCCCGCGCAGTACAGGAACGTTGCGCTATACGGTTCGATCGGATCGTCTTTGAAGTACCCGCTGGTGGCCGTCCCTCCAGCCAGGACCGCGTCATAGATGGCCGTGCTGATCCCCATCCCAATGGTCACGCACAGCTTGGTCACCGTCTGCAAGATGCCGCCCGCAATACTTTGCTGGCTGGCCGGCAGCGAGTTCATCACATACATGTTCGCCACGCAGAACTCGAAGTCGGCGCCCACCACCGCCAACACCAAGCCGGGGAAGATGAAGGCCCAGTAGCTGCTATCCGAGTGCTGCAGGCCCATCAAGAGAAAGGCCCCCGTATACGCCGTGGCCCCGATGGCCATGAGGAGGGTGTTGTGCACCCGGTGCATGATGAGTCCCGCCACAATGTTGACCAGGATGCCGCCAATGGCCATGGGAAGCAGGTGCACGGCGACGAGCAGGGCCGAATAGTGTCGGATCTCTTGCATGAACAGGGAGATCCAAAAGGTCATGATCGGGAAGGCCAGGAAGCCGAGGAGAAGGACGACAATGACAAGCGAGAAGTCCCGGTCTCGCCAGATGGACATGGGCACGAGCGGATACTCAAACCAACGTTCCCAGAAGACGAACCCGATGATGAAAAGCGCACCCAGGATGAGAAGCACGAGGACATATGGCGTCTTCCACCCGTTGGGGGCATCTGATCCGAGACTGAAAAGTAATCATGTCAGTCGGGCGCACCGGCCGAGCAGACAATCAAACGTACCTCAGGGCCCCCGAGAACATTCCGATACCGGCGATGGTCAGGATAGTGCCAACTATATCGAATTTCTTCAATGCCTGGACGGACAGGGGCTCCTTGGCGCCGTGGTCGGCAGGGACGGTAAACAGCGCAATGGCCACCACCACGACATAGATGATGGCCAGCAAGAAGAAGCTGGCCCGCCAGTCAAACAGCTCGCTGGCGATCCCGGAGAAGATGCTCCCAAACACGAAGCCCAGGGGATTGCCCGCGCTGAAACAAGCAAAGACCCGGTTCTTCCGCTTGGAGGGTCGCGGGTAGATGTTGGCCAGCATGCCCTGCGCCGGTGGCACTGACGCGGCCGATATCAGACCTAGAAATCCGTTGAGGATGTCGAGCTGCAGGGGCGTCTGGGAGAATCCCGCGCCGAGGGCAAAGATGGTGAAGAGCCCCATGCTGCCGATGAAAAGAGACTTCCGACCAAACAAATCTGCCAGGCGGCCGAAAAAGAGCAGAAACGAGCCACAGGCCAGGCTAGACGGGGTTGCGCAGGTTAGCAGAGCCCCCAACAGGCAGGAGGAACAGCACGCACGAGGAGGAGCCGGTCAGCCAGGTGAGCTCCGCGGTGGACATGCCCAGGTCTCGCTGCACCTCGGCCGTGAGGACGGTGGTGGTGCCCGTGACCAGCGACGACATGGCGATGGCCATGGTGGCCACGGCCACGAAGAGGATCTCCTGCACGGTGGAGGAGAAGACATTAGGCCGGCCCTCGTCGCAGGGCGTTTCCTTCACCGCGGTGGACGTGGGGAGGTCCTTCTCCGTCGGCTGCACGAGTCTACCAGAATCCATCTGCCCAAGGTGTACCGCTGCAAAGGCACTGGGTGGGTGACAGCAGTGATGGACTGACAAGAAGGGGCGGGACGGACGAGAGGGAAGAGCTGATGCAAGGCCAGTCAAGGCAAGGCAAGAGAAAGAAAAGAAGGAAGGAAAAAGACACGCCAACGCCCAGGCGGATTACGAAAGCCGCGGGGGATTTCCGCTGGCGATCGGCAATCTGCACGTCGTACAGAGCTCACCTTCGCGTCTCACCACCGCCACCCCGTTTTTTTTCATGGTCAACAAAGGACCTAGGAAGTCCCTACGTGCGCTGGGCAACTATCAGGGCCATTTTACAAAGCTAATTGGAAGGCTCTGGAGCAGGGAATCCGGTGCATGGACCATGGGGATGGGGCCGATTCACGCAACATCCCTGCAAAAAGACGGACGAGGTTTTGAATGACGTTCCATTTAGGCAGGGAAATACCCCGGATCCGTTTACGTTTGAACGGCCAGGGAAGATCAAATCGGACTGGCCATCTGGCCCATCCCCAGCCTGGTCTCCCCGGCAACCCCGGTAGGACAAATCGTCATTCCTGCTGATGGCCTCTACCATATGAATCCCATCCACCTCGAAATACAGTCATCATGTCCACTACCGACCGAGAATACGAATTTCCATCGTTCGGAGCAGAGGATAAAACACCAACACGGACGCCAGCACCAGATAATCCCCGACATCGCCCCCATAAGCGCCAATCCTCTTCGCGGCCGGGGCAATATACTGTCCCCCGGGTTAGTGAGTAGGTCAAGGATGGGGGAAAGCCAGCCACGTACCCAGGTCTGATCCATGCCCACGAACGAGAAACCGATGCCCAGCAGCAAGGTTGTCGTGGCCGCCACGCCCACGGGCAGGCGCTTGGGGTCCTGCCACGCCCCCAGGTCGTAGCCCCCCAACCGCGGCCGGAACCAGAAGTGTTCGACGGCGAGGATGAGACCAAAGGCCAGCGTCCAATATCCCAAGAGGGAGAGGAAGTCGTTGAGGATGGCCTCCAGCTGATGGCGACCGCCCCAGGCGAGGGCCAGCACGACGAGAGACACGAGGCCACACCAGACCATGCGCGGCACGGCGCGGAAGGGCGTCGCCAAGAGCTGGAGGCACAGGGCGCTGGAATAGATATCAATGATGACACTGGCCACTGCATCTGGCGGAAACCCCAGTTAGTGGGCCATCGTGGCTTAACTGTTATCGGGAACGGAGGGAGATACTGACGGAATGTCAAGGCAAACAGGATGCCGGCCACTTTGGCCCATTCCGACGGCCGCAGGGTGGCCAGGATCAAAGCCCCTGCTCCCCCGGAATGGTAGACGGCGGCCATCTGCTCGTTCGACATGACAATGCCGCCAAAGTAGTTGCCCAGGATGGCCACAAAGATGGTGGGCAGCACCTGGCCCCAGTAGGTGAGGCCAAACACGAGCCACCGACTGGTCCGGGCCGGATAGTGGACGTAGTAGTCGCCCGCAATGGTGCACCAGGAGCAGCAGACGCCAAAGACAATGGCAAAGTAGCTCAGACAGCAACCGCAGAAGTCGATGCCCTGCACCGAGCTCCGGCTGGGTTCCGCGGGGAAGTACCGGCCCGCTTGGGCGTAGGTGACGCAAAGGAGCACCAGGGCCACCACCCAGGCATGTCGTTCATAGTGATGGATCATAGTGAATCCCGCAAAGGAGATGGCAAAGGCGACGCCAACGAGGAGGATGATGCCCGCGGCCAGCGGGATGGACTCGTCCGAGACGGCGGCCAGCAGCTGACCCCCAACCACGGCAGCGATGACGCCGTACCCGCCGTTGACGATGATGTTGAGCAGGCCACAGAGCCGGGCGCCCCACAGACCAAAGGCATAGCGCGCGACGGCGATCTGACGCAGGCCGCTGGGCGGGCTCAGCGTCGCCGCGAAGGCGGGCATGACGGATCCAATCAGGGTGCCCAGCACGGTCAAGAGGATGGAGGTATGCACCGACAGGCCAAAGATGGGCCCCAGCATCCCAATGGGAATCAGCCCGGGCGCCAGCAAGGCGGAGAACCAGAAAAACAACATATTCAGCAACTCCGGCGGGTGGCGCTGGTCGTCCGGGACGCGCTCAATGCCCATGGCTTCCACCCCGAACTTGCGATCCATCCAGGTCTCGGCCTGGCGCAGCGACCGGAGGAGCCGGTTGCCTTGCTGGAGGTCTTGGATGCGCATATCCGCCGGGTCGGGAGAGGGGAGAGGTCCCGTGTCGCACGAGGGACCCTCATGCCAAAGGCGTTGGTTCGTGACGGCTTGACTTCCCATGGCGGACCTTCGTAGGGAGCGGCGTGGAGAAGGGGGCGGAGTGGATGGATGATATATCTTGAGGAATGATTATCCTGACTGCCAAGATGATAAGTGTTGGCTCTTGCATTAGTTCCGTCGATAGTCTGGTTGCTGCGGCGCTTTCTTTCTGTTTGTGTAACCATCCATGAGATCCGCCTGATCCACGACCATATCAAGCTTCTCTGATGGGGCAATAACTTAAAACAGTCCGCCGGTTCGTTATCTCAGCAGGACATACCGTGATCCCCCTTCTAATGGGTCACATGGGTGTCTGGTGGGTTGGGATCCAAGGCGTACACAAAAAAATCAGTTCTATTGGGAGTATCTCATCTTTCATCACATCGTCACATCACATCACCGCTTAGAACGGGCCAAAGTCTCCTCCAAAGTCGTCAAAGTCCGGGCCTGGGGGTGGGGGTTCGGCAAAATCATCCTCCAAGGCCTCAATGCCCTCGCCCAGCAGGAAGCCTCCCAGCAAGCCACCCCCGACCCCGAGGGCAGCGGCGCCCATTTTCCCCATGCCCTTCTTGTGCTTCTGGTTCTGTTGCGGTGGTGGTGGTTGTTGGTAGGCATTCTGGTACTGGGCCGGATATTGGTTGGGGGATTGATTGGGGTATTGGTTGGGATATTGGTTCGGATATTGGTTCGGATATTGGTTGGGATAGCCGTATTGCTGGGGATAGGGGTTGTTATTGTAGCCATATTGCGGTTGGGGGTAACCATATCCATCCCGGTTGGCGGGGTAGTTGGACTGCGACGGCGGGCGCGGGGAGTACCGATCCGGTCGATCCCGGGGATCTCGTGCTTGGCCCAGTCGATCCTGTGAAAGCGTCTCGTAGCTGGGCGGGGGGCCTGTCGGGGGTGGTGTCTGGCCCTCAGGCTGGGCAGGTCGGTCGGGTCGTTGCCATTGCGAGCGACCGGTATACAGGTTCACATAAAACCTGAGTTCAAGGCATCAGCACCAGCCATCAGCCATCAGCCATCCAGTGGCCTGGGATCAGAAGAGAGGGGGGTTTTCATTGTACCATTCCTGATAACGATCATCGAATTCGGCCTTCCAGCCATCGGGAACGAGAGGCGGAGGGGGAGGCATGTTGAGGTTGAATTGCTTCGAAGTAATGGAAGGGTAAAATGTGAAGGATGAAGAGGGAAGATGGATGGTCGATGGCGGATATATATTCGGGCAGCCGGCTCGGGCGGGAACATTACAATACTAGAATACCGGCAAAACATTTAAACGCACCTGCCACATGACATGACATCATCATCAACTGAATTTCAAGGCATCAGTTCTATTGTATACTAGATAATTCAAGAATGATATCAGGTTCTCCTGGGTCGGTGATTGGATCAGTGCACCCAGCACTACTCCTAATTCCTGTCCAAGTTCACCAATCAGAAGCATGAAATCGTCCTCAGGGAGTCACGGCAATAACCTGAACCTAACTGTACTAGAGAGCGCGTCCGTTGGATTTAGTCACATGGCAATACAGTGTCGAGCACCAAAGCTTGGTGTTAAGTCCGTGATTCCCCGAGCATCCAAGTTAATCATCGCGTCAGGACATCCCCGTTGGGAAGGCATAGTGAGCATGCTGTAGGCTGACTGCCTGGGAGGGACCGTGGATTATCACCACCTGTTCTGTTTGCCTAGAATACTAACATGGTCCTTCTTATGCGATGGACGGGTGAGGTGTCTAATCTATCTTGATGCACACACTTACGATATGCTTTCCCTCCTCGAGTGCCTTGTAGGCCAATCTGGTGGACCCTCAACCGTATGGCTATTCGTTGTTCAAGACATCTCGGCAAGTCCATCAGCGTTCGCCTACAGGACTGCATGTGTCCTCTGCCAACCAGCGAATCCCCTAATTTACTAGATCCAGGAAGCTCCTTGTATCATATGTAATCTATTCGCCTGAAAGCTGCCGGTTTGGCCATCATAGAGTCCATCTCTATACCGGCTCACCGCCCGAAAGAAAACACGGAGAATGAAACGCGAGCCCAGGTTCTGTCCGATGAAGTGCGGCATTTGCAACAATGGAGACGTAATTTGAAATCTGCCGGATCTTTCAGCCATCCCACACTATATGTTGAGGACACGCCCGCCGACCCAGACCAGGAGCCGGAGGTTGAACTCAACTATATCTCGCGACAGCCGATCGAAATTCTCCTGACTACCTTGCTGAAACTCCGATACCACAATGTCGTCATCACTCTTCACCGAGCCTTCATCCACTTTCCAAGCCACCCACTCATTCCAAAATCGAGTCCGCTCGCGGATGCCCATAGTGCTACCGCTCGTGGGGTTCATGCTCGCATACCCGTACTGCCATAGGTGTCCCAGGGCCCGAAGATATATTCGTCTGGCCTTGGAGATATTCGATTCGGCGGGGAGCAACAGTGCCGCTACCGTTCGTGCAGCGGCCCTGACCGGTCATTTATCCGCCAAGGTGGACACCCTCTTGCGCATTCTTAATATCGATGACTCCCTGGTACCCATGCGGAACTCGCAGGGGGGAGGGAGATCAACAACGATTGCAGCAGAACCATGATGGTAGTACTATGACCCCAGCAGTCAACAGTCCATTGCTACAAGACGAGATACAGCAGCTCGTACCCTGTCTTCCAGAGCTAAGCATAGATTCCTTGTGGTCCTGGGCCGATCTGACGAATCTGGAGGCTTGGCCGAATTATTGTGATGAGGTTGGCGAGGGTTTCACCGACCCAACATAACTCTGTATGCCGGAAGCACCAGTGTATATAAGAAGTACAGCAACTTTGACCTTTTCTCCCTCTGCCTCTGACCTGACCAGGGCGTAGAGTTGGGAGTAAGCGGGAAGATTGGCGCTTTACCAGCGGGACAGGACGGTGCCTCCAAGATATCCCGAGGCCCCAGTGAGGAGAATGTTGTATGTCGACATATTGGAGAGGAAATATTGAGTAGGGGTTTTGATGCTGTTCCTCTTTCTGAGGTTGCTATGTGAGGGCTCTATCTATCTGTATGTCCCCGTGTGGGGTGGTCACGGAAGACTTTCCCGCTTAGGGTGGCTCCAGCGATTTCTATTGGCTGACCCGCAATAAGACTCCCAACTAGCGTTTTGTGGAGTTCTTCCATGACGTTTCAATACTGGTGGAAACACATACAGAGTGCACACATACACACCGTGTAAAAGGTCGTGTTATTGATGGTATTCCTCACAACTCTGCAGCAGGAGACGCAACGCCATAACATAGAGCCCAACCGTCCCATCCATGTTTTGGTACCTGAGATGTGAGTGCAACATCTACTTTACTTTAGGATTGAAGCAAAAAGGGTATCATATGTCGCTGCGGCCTCCGTTCCCATGTCACCGGCCTACTATCACTCTGAAGGTCGTGGTATCTTATATTTCCCCCCTGTTTCTTCTTCGTGCGATCGTTTCCTACTGGTGACGCAACTTGGGCCATCTGATGAAATCATGGGATCGTGGGAGGGGGAATGACTGGGTGCAACTAGCTCGGCTACTAGTCGGCTCGAGAAAGTATCAAAAGGTTCGTACGGAATTTTCTCCCGTCGTATCGTAGGCCATTTCATGGGGCTTGTTGCATCCTTGGGATTCCAAAGCCCATCTAGAAGCTCGGTTGGAATGTCGGCTTCATAAAGGAAGATGTATTCGCGCTCTTGGCCGTGCGTGACAAGAAGACGGGGCAGGAAGCAAATTAGCAGGGACCAAAGGGAGGGATGCAAAGCGGGGCAAGCAGATACATACAGTATACGTAGTTGGTTCAGAGAGATCGAGCTTCTCCTCCTGGAACTGCGCGAGAGCCAGTAAATGACACATAAAGTACGCATCTTCAGTCCAGTCTTTCGGTGTTGTCTGCGCCACTTTCTTCAGGCATAGTTGGATCCCTGGCCTGTTATTTACCCCCCTTGGACCCGAGCAGGGTTCAAACTGTCTCCTTCGATCTCCAACAACGTCTGTGTAATGTACATAGCCGACAAAAGAGGGTGAGGTGCTGTCATTTCGATTGAGGGATTCCTTTCGAGGGTGAAACACGAGATAGCGCGGTCGGTGAACGCGGCGGCCTTGAAACCAAAGTGACGTTCCTTTGCTGTTTAGGAGGCCTGTCAGTCACCTCCAGCAATATCAGCTGCGTTGCCCGAACGGTATGTCTTACCTATACTTTGCAAACGGGCGACCCTTGCCAACCAAGATCTTAATGAGACTCCGACACTTCACGTCGGGAAAAATGTTTCGAGCAAGTGTTTCGGCATCGTTAGGGGGCTGGCGACCGGTGTCCGGGCAGGCGCTTGTAGTCGAATCAGTATAGGGAGGAATGATTGCGATATCGTCAAACCGAGAGCCCACCAGATCCAAATGACGCGATGTCCACTGTAGAGGATTCACGAGGAAGTCGGTGTGCTTACGCACGAGATCACGAAATGTTCTCGGTCTCGAATCTATTACCATCGCAGTTGTGGGACGCTTGAGCTGACAGTTATGGTCGTGGGCAATCAACTGAAACGGAGAAGAGCAAAGAAGGCGAAGAGAGCGAAGAGAGCGAAGAGAGCGGAGAAACTACTGATGGTCAATGACGGAAGAAGGGCTCCACCGCCTGGACAGACCGCCTTTGCTATGTCAGCACCGAGTCAATTCTAAAAATAGCACAGTTTCCACAGATTCATTCGGTGCAGCCGTCGCCAACAAGTATGTAGAGAATGGCTGGCTGATCAAGGACGCTTTTTAATCGGCTAGTCCTGACACTGCCGTAGTCTACAAAACGCGCAAGCGCTGAGCACAGCCAGGTCAAGTCGTGGCAAGGGAGTTTATAGCCAGCGGACACTACATGAAATACTACATAGAGTCCTACTGGAGGCCTGATTCAAGGCTCTACGGGATGTCTGTGACTACATGTTTTGAATAATGCTTGTATTATGCTGACTAAAGCGCTTCGCAACGCCTGGCGGCTATCCGCAGGCCAGGGCCTAGTATGAGGGTCTACACCCATGATTTGCGTATCAGGCCGAAAGGACTTGAGATCCCACCGGGCCATCTTTTTCAACACCCTGAGAGCTGCATATCGAGAAGAGGAGAGCTATATGGCATGGCTTTAATTCCAATCAGCTTAGTAGCAGTGCCTCGTCAGATATCGCCCGATTCATGATTCCACAAAGGTTAGCCAACACAGATTCCCGTCCGCTTTTTTGACCAAGATCAAACCAAGGCGTTGCGCTGACATATAGGTTCTCTGTAGGTAGAGAATTGTCGAAAGTATGTATATAACTGTCACTAACGTCCATCTGTAAAAAACAGATGTAGAGCTGAGCAGCATGAATAATGATAACACTGGGAGGATTATTAGCATTTACTTCGAGAGAATGCTGGCTTAGGTGTGATCTACCTTTCAAGTAATCTGTCGCCCCGGTCGGAGAGTCTGGTTGCCAAAGCCTCACAGACCATCTGTGCAAAGCTCCTATCCGAGATTGTGGGTATGCCATCCTCTACCCATTGGAACTGTGGCTTCGCCTCCAGAATTGCTACATGGCGTTTTGCAAGTTTGAATCCCCCGCCTGACTTTTGCCGTCGTAGACAAAGGCCACCGTCGTCAATGGCCACCATCTGGTATCGTGCATTGATTGTAGTCGCAGTCATCCTGGATTGGGCGTCTCGAAACTCGACAACAATTGGCAGTAATGCTGGGTTTTGAGGAGGGGCAAAGTATAGGATATGCCTGATAACGCACGACACAAGCCGTAAAGTGTCGCCTTCCGGTTTAATAGCCAGGCGATGTGTATCAGGGTCAACGTAGCCGAGAGAGGATCCTTGGGAGCCAGAGCCTTCCGGCAGTGGGCTGCTAGAACCGACTCGCATTCCTTGGGAGTCGATAAAGCCTGGCTGTGATGTGTTCATCCTGCGACGCTTTGACTGCCTTTCTTCATCCTCCGTTTCACCTTCATGTTCTTCCCCATCTTCCTTCCCGGCCCCATCTTCCTCATCCTCCATAGCCCCCTCATTGTCAGTCGCATATTCATGTTGTTCCTCGTATCTGTGACGATCCTGGCACCCTTTGAACATGGCCAATGCTGCCCAAACCTGAGCTAGCGATATGCCACCGTTGAAGTTTCGTATCATATAATGTTCACTTTGGTCCATGAGGGTCAAGTCAGGTCCTTCTATAAATGCGCGGATTTCAGGCAAAAAAGACTGAATCTCAGATGGTCCAACATATTGCGATAAAATAGGAAGTAAGTGTGGTTGAGTCTTCCGCCGTATGACACGACACGCAAGCAAATGAGGCCGGTCCCAGTCACTAGCAGAGGCAAGTTCTAGCTCTGCGATGCTTGTCCCATTCTCAGCCTGAAAACGGCTTTTGAGTGCGGACTCGGATGTCACATTATTAAAATAGGGTGCGGGATTCATCTCTCTGTAGTTTAGGTCCTAGGACTGATCCTCTAATAACTGAACTGAGGATGGTTGACGCGTTAACACCGTGTTAAAGAATATTCATCAGATATGGATGGACTTTTACTCAAGTTTGGAAACGTGTGTGGTAGGGAGCTCCTTTCCTAAGATCCCTCTGTCTTGTGGAATGGTGAAACCTTGAGGATCGTGAAATTGGAGGCTAGCTACTGGGGCCTAAGAAGGGGGCCTAGGGCCGGGTGAAGTTTAGTCATCTGACGTGGTTGCTGCCTGGTGAGGGGTAGACGTACGGTGCATAAGTGAGGTGCAGTCATATGCCCAAGTGTCGGCGCTCAATGGTTCCGGCCTCCATTCTGCCGGCAGGTACTGGGCTCTGATAGGCCTAAAGATATAATCTAGTACATAATATATGAAGAAGTTTTTTCTTTTGTGACTAGGGGGAGAATTTAGGGGGGCCGTTATACTACAAGGCCAGGCCTGACGGAACAGGCCGTGTGGGCCGTTCTGTAGGAATGTTGGTAACCTCTGGTTACCACAATGGGATCTACCGTGGGTCTATCGCTAAGCTCCTATCTGGTAGGAGTGAGCCGAGGAACCTGTCAGGAGCCAGTCATGTATCTAGCCATGTGACATGGAAGGTCTTCGGCGTAAGCCCAAGACTTTATAAAATGATTTAGTTTGCAAAGCGCGAAAGCAGTGGGCAGGTTCTAAGGTAGGGTCTACTATAGGAGGTTACTGGCTTTATAGGTTCCTATTTATTTTTTTTATTTTTATTTCTATTTTTTTTTTTTTGGCCAAATCCTGCTTCGGTTGGTATGGAAGTATGAAATCAAGGCCGATATGGGGGAAGGCTTCGGTCACTGGAAAATGGTAAGTCTAAACCAGCAACTATCGTTCGCCTGATGCCAATTACTGAAATCAACGTCACAGAGCCAGGATTAGGGGTTGATCATTGACACAGCCAATATTGCGTGTGGCTTCCATGTCAGCGATCCCACCATCATGCTCAAGAACTTCCGGTTGCACAGTCCAAGGTCACCACTCCGGAGCTATGTTACGAGCGGGCTTTGTCGCCAGCAATGAGGGATACCAGCAAGAACATCAATGACACCGAATTCCGATTTGGGTTCGGTGGGAAGCCATTCAGTATCTGCATTAATTCGGATACTCTGACTTCTTTGCAGAATGTGACGGGGGTGCACCAGCCAGTTGATGAGGCCAGCCGTCAACGATTCCCACAACCGTCGATTTCTGGAATTAAGGGTCTTACAGCATGTACAGATTCCCGCATAATCAATGTCTTCCTGTAATATACTAGGTCCTGCTCGTCCACAAGCAAAGGCGTTGCAAAGCGACTTGGTAAGCATCAATTAACGTATCTTCAAAAGCATGTAGTCAGAGACGTTCTATATTATATGGCTGAAGAAGTCCAGCACTTAAAGACTTCCGTCAAGCACCTAAAGGGCTTAATGAAACACACCCAAAAAGGCTCAACCAAGCACGCCACAGGAGCTTAATCGAGCGCTTCAAAAGGGTCAAGAGCACCCCCAAGCATTCTAAAACGCAGTACTTGATTCAGGTCTATAGTCAGAAGCTATGTAAAGATTCGGTTCAGACCTACAGTCTGGATATATATTCTTGGGGGTCCCTGGCTAGCCACCCCCGAGACCCCTTGTTAGGCCCGAAGTGGTGAGTATCGGCAATAGGTATCCATGATAGGATCCGATAGCAATGGGGGAAGTCATGTTATCTGTGAAACAGAAAGAACCAATCAAGTAGGCTATATATGTGGAAGTCGTGGGCCAATCAGAAGTTTTAGAGCTGGGAACTTGCCTCGCAGGCCCGACCGAAACTAGTAGTAGTAGTGGTAGTAGTAGTAGTAGTAGTAGGAGTAGTGTTGTGATGCGCTAGCGCAACAATGAAAGCAACACGTATTCCACATAAGCCATGAGTGAAAGGAGAGAGTCTTCACAACAAGGGTGATTTCCTAACTGGCAGTGTCCGGGAAAGGCAATGATTGTCGGGTTCAAGTGATATAAAGGCATTACATCTTCCCCTCCTCTCTTCCCCCTCTCTTCAGTCTCGGCTAAACTTCCCTGTCAACCCCTCTAGGTATTACTCCGAAGATTCCGATAACTCCACGAGGCTCTCCCTTACTGCTCAGCCGATCTCACAGATTGCTCTATTCTCCTCTCACACGTCTTACAAGTCAAATCACTCATTGTTTCCATCTAACCTGTCGCTCCTACGCGAAATCCGCCATGGCCAAAACACTGAGTGATCTGAAGCGCAAAGACCTCCTCCAAAACAAGGGCTTCATCGAAGGAAGATGGTCCAATGCAGCTAGCGGAGAGACCTTTCACGTCGTGAACCCCGCCTCACTGGATGTCCTGGCCACACTGCCCGAGATGGGTGCCGAGGAACATGACGCAAGCCATTGTGGCTGCCGACAAAGCCCTAGCATCCTTTCGCACCACCACCGCACGACAACGAGCCCGCTGGCTGCGCAAATGGAACGATCTGGTCCTGGAAAATATCGACGACCTCGCTCTCATTGTGAGCTTGGAGAACGGCAAGGCTCTGCCGGAGGCGCGCGGGGAGGTAATGTATGGCGCATCCTTTCTGGAGTGGTTTGCTGCTGAAGCGGAACGGGCCCACGGCGAGGTCATCCCGGCCGCAAACCCCAACCAGCGCATTCTGACCGTCAAACAGCCCCTCGGGGTGGCCGCGCTGTTGACTCCGTGGAACTTTCCCATTGCCATGATCACTCGCAAGGCCGGCGCGGCCCTGGCGGCGGGGTGCACGACGGTTTGGAAGCCGGCCGGAGAGACTCCCTTGAGCTGTCTCGCTCTGGCGGTCTTAGCCCATGAGGCAGGACTCCCAGTAGGCTCCATCAACGTGGTCCTGACGCTGAACAAGGTCGCCGAGGTAGGACAGGCTTTATGCGAGATCAGCGTTGTGCGAAAGCTGAGCTTCACCGGCAGTACACGGATCGGGAAACTTCTCGCGCAGCAGTGTATCCAGACCCTGAAGAAGCTTTCTCTCGAACTCGAGGGCAATAGCCCGTTCATCGTGTTTGATGATGCTAAAATCGATCATGCGGTGGAAGCCCTGGTGATGGCCAAATTCCGCAACTCGGGGCAAACCTGCATCACAGCCAACCGGGTCTATGTCCAGAAGGGGATCTACAACCAATTCACCGAAGCGATGCTGAAACGAATGCAGACGCTGCAGGTCGGACCAGGAACCCAGGACGGCGTGACTATTGGCCCATTGACACACGAGCGTGCGATTGACAAGGCAATGCAGCATATCGAAGACGCCAAACGACACGGCGGCCAGGTTCTTATGGGGGGCGCTCCCCTCCCCGAACTGACCGGGTATTTCATGCAGCCAACGCTCATTCGAGATATGAAGCCTGAGATGATCACGACCCGGGAGGAAGTCTTTGCGCCCGTGCTGGGATTGTACCCGTTTGAGACGGAGGATGAAGTGATTGGACTAGCCAACGCCAGCAATGTCGGGCCGGGGGGCTTCCTCATGTCCGAGAATATCTCGCGTTGTGTCCGGGTCGCTGAAGCACTGGAGGTTGGCATGGTGGGGATTAATGTTGGCATGTTGATTGCCTGTGAGAGCCCTTTTGGAGGTGTCAAGGAGAGTGGCTACGGGCGAGAAGGTGGTAAGCAGGGGATTGAGGATTATCTAACAGTCAAGTCTATTCTCTTAGGTGTGAACCATTAGATAGCGATATCTATAAGACCAGCTTGACTGTGGTTGACATGCCTACGCCAGATTTCAACATTAGCTGAGCCTCGGATAGAAAAAGCCATATTTCCTTCTAGGTAAGTGGTACGTATCGAGCAGTAACCTCTGAATCAAACCTTTGTCATCGAACATTTGCTATTAGCAAGCTTGGCTATCCGCAAAAGGACTGTAAATATTGTCCCCGAGTTTCTACTCCAACCCTTATCTCTTATCTTCCATTCGCCTCCTACCCCCACATGAGATATGGAGCTGCTTGTCGGGGAAGAAGCGGACATCCGACGACGCTGTCTGGGGATCGATCATTCAGCATAAATACGCGGCGATCCGACCTGGAATGCATCAGGATTATCTCCAGTAAGGCCTTGGGATTGCAACAGGATCTTTCATTGCGAGTCTATAAGATGTGTATAATATGTCTAGTGTAATGTATGTTGATATATACGGACTGGTACAATATATGTTCATGGCATATGCAGCTTGAAGCAGACATGAAAAGTCAAAGACATATTCCGTACATATGGGGAACAATCTCTCTAGTTCATACGGTACTGAGATAAGAGATAGGTGGCAGACATGTGATTGGCTGGCTGTCATCTGTGTGTGGAGACCGCCCCTAACCGCTTCGAGACCCCGCCTCGGCTTCTCCAGGAACCGTTTTCTCCCCACCTGACTCATTGGTGGTCTTATCATAACATGGGCCCATCACTAAAAAGGCCAGCCTGCCCAATTGCCCCCCCCATGGATTCGCGTCAGCCTTTCCGAATCCTCGAGAAACATGTCCGTCGATCCCGCGGTGTTTACTCCCTGGTTCGGCCCGCAGAAGGCGGCGGCCTACTTCCGCTCTCTCCTCGCAGAGGACGTGTCAGAAACACAGGTGCTCAACACCAATCGGTATTTATTAGAATGTGTCCATAGAGAAGCCATTGCTCCCAAGATTTTCGCCGTATGGCTTTTTCTCGCCCACGCCAGATGTCCCAGCATCCTTCGGGACGCCCTGTGGGATGAGGCCTCACGTGGTGTGCGCCATGCCGGCATGAACGTGTTAAAATGTGCCATGAAATCAGAACACTGGCGGGAGAAAGGCTGGGAGGCAGTTGGAGGAGCGGTTGGTCTGAAGGAGGTTTTTGAGAAGCTCAGCATACAAGAGGTGAATACCCTGGCGAGAGCCATCGGCTCGTACTCCAGGACCAACGATCCTTCCAAAACGCGAGCCATAGATGAGCTTCTCCAGCTCTTGACCCCGAAGGTGTTCGAAGCCTCGTCCTCCCAGACCCGGCTTGACGGATCGCGACAGCTGCTACGCGTCGAAGACCTAATGCCGTTGTTCAACGTTGCCAGCGATGCCACCTTGATCGGAGTGTTTTCCACAGACCGATCTTACAACTTCATCGACCCCTTGGTACGACATTTGCTCCACTCCCACATGCCACTGCTGAGGGAAATTGCCGCCGGGCGCGCGCCAGTTGATCCTTCACTGAAGAAGCGTTTACTCGATACCCATCACTCTGCAATGCTTATATCATCTGAGCCTTATGAATCCAAAGCTCGAGGCAAACAGTTCGGCATACCGGCAATGGATTTCACTCAGGATATTATTGACAGAGCTTGCGGTGAGTCGAAAAATGACAGTGGGATATCTTGGTATACCCGGGTCCGCTGCATCGACATGACTCTGACTATCGCCCGGCGATTGAAAGTGCCGTTCAACGAGATTCTCGCATTTCTTGAGCGGGTGTTACCGACTCTGGAACATCCGGGACAGATGCTGTATGACTGGAAACCCCTTATTCTCAAGCTGATAGATTTCTGGGTTATGGCAACTTTCCCAGAGGCATATCTAATGTCAGTCTCGCATGTACCTGCTGCACGTCAGCGCGAGAAACTGCATCCGTCCATACCATCCGAGGCCCACAGAGGCCCCTTGGAGAAAATGCTCCGAACGGCTTTTAGCACAATGCCGAAGACAGAACTTACGGCTTGTCTTAATGCCCTGCTTCCCAGAACTGTTGCAAGGGCAAAACTTTCCTTGCTAAAAATTATATGCAAGCATCTGCGGGGCCTTGAGATCGACTTAGATCTGCCCGTGCCGTCTAAAAGCGAGGAACAGCTTTTGCCATGGAAGTCATCACTCCTCATGTCTTTTCCGGGGCAGGATGCAAGTTGGCTATTCGATCGCGCGGCACACTTATCCCCAACAAAAGGTTTGATCACGTCCATCAGGTTTGAGTGGCCGGTAGACGGAGGGGACTCCTCTTCTTTCCTGGAGACCATCGTGCGAGTACATTTTGAGTCTACGGAAAAGGGACAGACCGATGCTCATGATTCTGTGACACATCGATGTAAGTTGGCCTTCCTTTTATAGTCAGGAATAGTAACTGATTTGTGCGCAATGCAGTAATAGAAGACGTCAAACTCAGGGCCACGAAAGCCCGTGACCCGGGGGATCGGCTGGAGTGGGCAAAGCTTACAATCACCATCGCCAGATATAGCCAAAACGTCCGAGTTTTGCGAGACGTTGTCCATTGGGCATCGCGTTTTTTGAAGGATCCGGTAGGCCTATTGTCGGACTCGTCATGTACTCGTGGATTGCTAATACTGTATGTGTTTCCAGTTTGTCAGACCGCGGCTCGCAAAAAGAATTTACCAGACCGATGTCGCATCTGTCTTGTCCTGTGTGATGGCACCCACTCTAGAAGACCTTGCGGCGGATGTGGGCATTGCCGATGCGGTAATAAATCATCTGATGGAACAAGCGCTTCTAGCTCTGCAGGAGCCCTGGTACAAAGCCTATGAAGATCGCGAATTTAGCTCGTTACTTCGGCGGGTCGTTTCTAGCCGAATAGATGCGGTGAAGACCTTGTGTTGCCATGGCCTAGGAAGCGAAAACGATGTGGTGGAAACTTTGTTTAAGGGGCTGGTGCCGACACTTTTGAAATATGAGAGTGTGGGCATGACGGAAGGATATGAATCCCTTGTCTGGGGACGCTTGTCTGGTCCCCTCACAGACATTAATTGCCCACAGAACCCACGATGCGAGATCTTGAAGCTCATGGACTCGCTAGCACAGCAGCGAGATCGGCTTTGGGCCCAACAGCGTCTTTTACGAAACCCTCAAACCGCATCTTTCCCTGAGGGCTTACCTCGAGGCTTACCTCTTCAGTATTTGTTTCCTTCGGAGGAATGGACGATCGCGGTGATGAAGTGTCAACAGGCCAGCAGCTTCATCACGGCAAGAGTCACTAACATTGTCTTTTGCGATGCCAGTAACGCCTTACAGAAGATGGACCAGGAAGATCGAAACTCGACCCCCTTGGTGGACAGCCTAAAATTCGCTATCAGGGTCTATGTCGGCCATCGACCTGTAAAAGAACAGGGAGCAACAATGCTGGAAATCTGGAGGCACTACTCAGAAAGGATACCGTGTTCTGGAGGGCATATGGAGAGCATCAAGTATTACATGTGCTCTTTGCTGCGATCCAAAAGCCTGCATAGAATCGCGAGAATCATTGATTCACCCCAGCTGCCTTCTCTGGACATCTTTGACAGCATGTCACGCGGCTCATCAAGCGAATGGAATCCTCGCCCAAAGAACACATGCCGCTTGTCAGAAAATCTTCCAGAAGACACACTATTGCAGTACCGGTTCTTTGCCACCAAGGAGGAAGTATCCATAGCAGCCTTTGCGGGGGTGCTCCCTCGTCCGAAAGGGTGGGGAGCGCCTGAAAAGCCCAAAACACCCGATATTTGGAAAACCTGTTATATCCCTTCTACATATTATTGGGAGAACAAAGAAGCCCTCATGGCCTCTGCCCTCTTGTTTCTGGACAGTCTAACCCTCAATTCTGAACGCGTTCTATCGAAGGGATTTCCTGAGAATGCAGACATTCTTCGCTATCCGTCAGTGCACCTGGACTACGAGTTCCTGTCCTCCGTTGATAACCAGAGTCGGGCAGCGACGGCGGCTATTTCTGTCCTCGATGGCTTGGTGAGAGTCATACCACCCAGCCTCTTGTATAAGCTTTCACTGTCTTTCCTGGAATCTCTTCGGGGGCTGGAAAGCATGGCGCCAAATTATGCCCTGGTTCAACGGTGTGCTTTCGAAACAATGGCTCTTGTGCGACGGTCAGACAAGCCCGAACTGGCTGGGGTTCTAGGAATGAAAGCGCTGCAGCTATTTCCCGAAGCATCCTCATGGCACCGGATGGCGTTCCCTCCATCACTTGCTAAAGTTCTCAGCCGCGAAAGCGCAACGGGAATCTTACAAGAGTTCACTGCTTATGTCTTCAAGGAACTACGAAAGCAGAAGGAGCCCAGAAGCGGAAAGGATGCCTTGGTGAAAGCCGAAAAGCCAGGTATCAAGATTACCACCGTGAAGATGCTGGGCACTATGCTGGGAGAAAATAAATTTGGCGTGCCCCCTTCCTTTGCCATTGGCGCACTGAAGGACCTATTCGATGCCAGCAATCACATCGATGTGAGGGTGACAGTCTGCACGGCTTTACTTGATATCCTGCAAGACTACGACGACACTGACCAGGCCTACGAAACATTTATATCGCTCACACCTCACGCTGCTGGGCCCAGCGAAAAAAGCGGGTCTGGATCTTGGCTGCAATCAGAGAAGGCAAAACTGCCCCGAGTTGACCCTCAACGCCCCCTGCTCGACCTATTTACCAAAACATCCTACAGCAAACTCCCCGTAAAATATCGTGAACGGTATGTCAACGAGACCCTGCTACCTCTCGTTACAGAATCGACGAGACAACATAATCTTTGGATGCGTCGATTCCTCTTGCGGCTTGATTTAACGCCGGAAGAACGGTCGGTGACGGACTTTGGACCTTTCGCGCCAGATCTATTCCATACAGTGATGGACAGCTGGTCTGCATATCTCCCGCGGGAATTTCTCTTAAAGTATAGGTCATTCGCTCTATGCTACCTGGATTGTATAAAGCTCCGCAATATCAATGACAGATTGACTGCGCAGGATCGATCATGGCGGACGACCAACGGAGGTGACCACTGGAGAGAGTATTTCAAACGCGGCTGGGTAGTAACACCTTTCCGCCTCCTAATGAGATTGTTTCAAGACAGGGAAAGCCCGAAGGTAGCTGATGGCATAACTCGCGAAGCTATTGCGGACGAAATCGTCGCGTATGCGTCAATCATTCTCCAAAATCCATTCAGCCTCTTCGCTGGTCATGTCCTAGTATCCTTGGAGCGGTTTACAAATCTAGTCTCACAGCTAGGGGTCCACAACTCCGAGCGTAGAGCTGACGTCTTGCCGGTTGTGCAACAAATAACAGCAATCGCGGATGGACTACGAACCGAGGACTGGAACAATGATCCGGATCGCAGTCCTCCTATCCTCCCCACCAATGTCCAACTACAGACGTTGCTTCTGCCGTTCCCGCATCTCCACAAAGAATCGCCTTCGCGTTACACGACCTTTACTTCCAGCATTCTGGCCTTGGTCGAAGAATGTGCCGCCTCAGACGAGGATGTTCTACAGCAGGCTATGAGCCACGTGGCGAAGGAGGACGCGCGTCAATGTGCCCTTGGATTTGGTCAGGGTTACGGATCCAGTACAAATCCGCGGGTACAGTATCTGAGGGTATGGCTGGCGAAGGGCTTGGTGCTGAAATGGAAGATGACCCAGGACGAAGATGATCTGACCGTCCGAGAAATGATATCCAACTGGAAGCGCAGTTCGAACGAGTCAATACGGTCCATTGGTTGGTCCACATATCCCCGAGCGATGTGATTTCGTGGAATGTCAGATATCTACATACTTCAGGTACTTTAACGATATCACGGAATGCCCCTCATATGGCCTATGAGCCATGCGTATACTAAAAAGCCCCTTGAGATGCCATCTTTGGCTCAAAGTGGCAACCACGAAAACGTAAAAGTATAACAAATGCCCGAACGTGATAAAGTAGACACGAAATTTGGTGAGACGGGATCTCCATGGTGTCCGGCCGGGCGAATAGTAAAAAGCAATGTAGTTATGTCGCCACTCAAAGCCCCCAGACATAGAAGGATAACTGGCAAAAACAGCCCAGACGCAAGAATCGAACTTGCGACCTCACAATGGGAGAAACCTAATCGTGCGCTCTGCCAATTGAGCTAGTCCGGGTGCACGTTGTCTTAGTGCTCCCATTCTTGGCTTATACTGAGAGGTCCCAGTTCCCCGGGTTTATTTAAGAACCCAATTTTGCCCACCGTGACAACATACACAAACGATGGAATGATCTATTAGTTGAAACACACCTAGGTCTTTCTCTTGATACATGTGCAGCAGGTGCGCTAGACACGAGGCTGAAGTTGTGATCACGAGGGTAGACTCATCAAGGAAGGAGACTTCATGTCGTGGGCCAGTCAGTATACTCCTAGCCATTGATTAACCCATGCTTAAATGATGAAACGGGGAAGTTGTCTACATCAGATGAAGAGTTGGCTCATGGGGATCATGAAAAGAAAGTCAGATGCTCCTTGAATGGAAAAGCACGCTAAACTCCTTTCAGACAAGTCGGACCATCAATAGTCCTGTACTGTCAATTGGTGGCTCTCCTAGATAAGCTAAGCACTTTGCCCTCTTGTGTCTAGACGTTTGTGGCATCTTGAACATTGAAATCGCCTTTTTTTATAAAAAAAAAGGAATACTCTGCCGAGCTTGTTAAGTCCTCGAACCGATTCGACCATACTGAGGCTTCCGGTAGATCCTGCCTGAAAATATATATATTGTGTGCACCGCAGAGAGATGCCCATCCGTTGGCTGCAGTGGCTTCGAGCAACGCACTCCGAAGTTCTCCTCTACCTTTGGTGGCCATGCATGCATTACTCCTGTTCTCCTACATTCTCTTTCGCATACCACTCCCTCACCACCTCGTCCAGCTCCTTGCGCAACTCCCCCTTCTTCTGCGGCGGTGCAAATGACTCCACCAGCACTTCCACAACACGATCTCCATCCACCAGAGGAACCCCTCTGGAACGAGCATGCCTGAACAGCTGATCCTTTGTCAGATACTTTGTGTCCTCAGCTCCATGCAAAGGACCGCTTCTCAACTCCCTCCCCCGGCTAAGCAGCTTGATTTTATCAAAGGCCACCTGCACCCCAACCTCATATGCCCCATCCACGCAGGAAGGAATAGCCCTGGAATCCCCGATAGGACTCGCTCGAGTCTCAAACATGTCCCCGAGCACACCATTCTCTTCCACAGTACGCATGCAATACCCGAACTGGATTCCAGTATCCTTTCCGGCCCAGGACGTCTGGAGGATGCCACTGTCCAAAGCAAGAAGAGGTCGAGATGCCGAGGAAAAGTAATTGGTAACATCCTTCTCCAACTTCTCGCTGCATTGTAACAATATGCCGACGTCAATGTAATTCCTTTGCAGGGTGTCGAGGATTGCCGCCTGCTTCAAAGAGGGCACTTCTTGCACAAGAATACCGTACGCGGCTTGCATCTGCTCCACTGTTGCATGCCGCGCCCCTTTGACAGCTTGGTCCTTTAGCTTCAGACAGAGATGCTTGCGAAATAGCTCGCTTTCAAAAAACTCCAGCTCACGCAGTTCGAAAGGCCGCGTGTCATACCCACCTGCCGGGGTAGTCGGGTTGCTGGATGTGAGGAACAGGAAGGGCATATGGCCCTCGGCCAAAAGCCGGGGGACTAGCTCACTCGCCGTCAGGTGCGAGGCCAAGTCGGCGCCTAGAAAGATTGCAATTTGTAGAGATTTGACGGGAGGCTCTCCGACGAGGGCATCGGCGATGCGGGCTGCGTGGGCAGCGACGCGATCGATGGCGCTCACGTAGAAGTGCGTGCCCCGGGTCAGCGAGCCCATGGTGTACAGCCCCGGTGCCGATGCACGGAGAGTGTCAAAGGAGACATCCACGCCGCCCATGGGATGAGGAGTAAACAATCCCTTTCGGACCGCGGATTGGATCAGTGGCGAGGGGATGCGATCGAGGTCGCTTTCTTGACCCGTGGCCTCGATAACATATGGTGCTTCAATCATCCCGGTCGTTGTCTGGGCCACAAAGATACCCTCTTCCTCGTCCCAGTGGATGGCTTCTCCTGCTACCACACTGAGTTGGGAAGTTTGCAGAAGGTCTAGGATCTTCTGGGCATTTTGCACCGGCATCCCGTGGCGATATCGCATCCACGGACTGAGGAATTTGGCCATGAATAGTTTTTGGCTTTCCAGTGAAAGACACCGCCAGTAACGCTCGATGACTGGAGCTGTGTGGCGGAGGACCGTTTGCCAGTGGGCATTTCCTGCCTTTGCTGCGTGCAGATCTGCTTGCAGCTCTGCCAGCGGGGAGGCGTGTTTCTGTAGCCAGGTCCAATCTCCGTGGTTCACGCCGTCAATCTCGTCCATCAGTCTGGTGGTGAGCCTGACGAGGGCATCCGCTGGGTTTGATTCAATGTCCCGGGCTAGCGTGTGAAGGGTGTAACGACGCGGGTAGGGTTCCGGATCGCCCTGGACTTTGGGAAGGCGACCACTGCGCGACATAAAGGTCATCGAGCCCTGATGGCCATTCTTGGAGAGAAAGAGCGCCGCGTCAACAGCGGAGAGTCTTGACCCGATGATGAGGACCGAGGCATCAGTAGGGATGGCCGTCAGTTGAGACGTTGGCCATGGGCTGGGAAAGAAACCCGGTCGATCAATCAGGTGCGTGTTGAGGGTTGAGGTAAAGTTTCCCAGGGCCAGTATGACAGACCGTGCAGGGAGATTGTTTCCTCCACCGAAAGTCAAGGTAAAGGTGCCGTTGTCATGACGGTCGATGTCGGATACTTCGTCTTGGATAATGGAGATGCTCAGACCCAGTTTCTGGGCTTCCGAGAGAATCTGCGACCACATCGCCTCGAGATACTCTCCGTAGCTGCTTCGAGACGGAAAGGGCCCACTCTCGAGCTCGTCTCTCCACCTGGTGAAATGCTTTGGGTCGTTGTAAGATAGCCCCATCGTGTCGGTGTGCATGTTTATGATGGTACCTGTGCACGCTGGAGAGTATGCCAGTCCCGGTCCAGGAGGCGAGCTTTTCTCAACCACGATGATGGGTGGGATTCTCTTGCCATCCTTAGCATGGTCGATCAACCGGAGAAGTACAGCGATGCCACTGGCGCCAGCCCCTACAATGACAATACTTTCCGTAGGGGAGTCAGACACGGATGATAAAGATGAGCCCATTGTGGAATGTCAAGAACGAGTGCTTGTTGAGTGACAGAGTAAGGGAATAAATCCAGTGCCCTCGTACAGAAAGTATTTAAGCCCTCAGTCTACGCCTACAGATTTATGAGCAGCCAATCATTCACTCAAAACGTGTTGCCCAAATAGGATAGATTTAGGAAAGCTATTATTAGACTCTGGTGCACATCCGTCCAGAACCATCCTCGACTCGTTCTTCAAACTCCAAATTGCTCTATATTCACGAAATGGAGCAGATCGCAAAGGTCAAGATCCTGTCGTCCGAAGTACCATACGATAGGCAGCTGCTTGCCATCATCAGCACCCATGTAACGCGAAGCGCCCCCCATCAACTCCGCCGCCTGTCTACATTGCCAAGAGGTAAGCTGAGGTGATCACACCTAGCTGTTTGCCGTGGAAATGCCATGAATATACCGGACAAACACTCCCGGGTATTGTCCTGCATTTACTCGTGATGGGGGTATATGGGGCAGAGGACTCGTACTCGTTTCGGATGCAGCAAATGATGTTGACGAAGGTGAGGTGATCAGCACCCACAACCTTTCTTACGAAATCTATTCTCATAATGGCGATGACGAAAAATGAAATCCCCACTGGCGAGTGGTGGACTTTCGAAAGTCGACTCCGTATACATCATAGGCCAGGTGACAATGTAACCCTCCATGGTCTGATCTCGGACGTGCCTAGGGTCGAATGCAGGGGATGACATCCATCGCGTGTTTGCATGCAGTTGCCATACATACCCAAGGATAGTCCTACGTGTGTAGCACGGGGACAACGACTCACGGCGTTGGATTGGCTCATATGGCCATCGTCAGTGCTACACATTGACGCTGACATGCGGGCTGCGCTGATCTTCAAAGAGCGCAATGAAAGTGGCAGCAAAGAAATGAGGAAGATGTCGAGAAAACGTCTGTCAGCGGCTGCATCCAACATCCATCTATTGAACAATAAGAAGCTCAGTAGAGTTCATATCGTGTCTTCGCTAATCCATAGAACGATCTCCTGTCGTTCTCCTCTTTTTCCTTTGCCAATGAACTGCATAAGAGTTATTTAGCCGGCCACTATGTCGACATATACCTTCTAGATGGACGATTATACTTGGTGGTCTGAGCAGAATTCCCCCGACGGCCCGTAAGGCTTTCTCCACACAACAAAGTTGGAGGGGCAGTATTGGCACAGCCCAATATGAGGGCCCCATCTCAGTGCGTTCAATCCTGCAGACTTATTTTTCTTGGCTAGTACAGCTTTGGAAAAAACAGAAGAACACAAAGCGTTATTAGGCTGAAATTTCGGTCTAGAACCAGCGCAGATCCTGCCTGCTCATGGAACTCCGAACCAACAGGATTTCGCCTCCCGGTCACATCAAGGTCGATCAGGGCTGCAGGGCCTGTGTAGGCCCAGTCATTTGCTCGCCTGGTGGTTGACTAGTGTGCCTTGTGATTAGCGCGGCCATGGTTGGAGGGCCCCATTGGGAGTGGTGTAGCTTGTAGCTATTATAAGTAGCGCTTGAGAACTGGTTGGTGTAGTAGATGTATACTATAATAGACATGGTCTTAATATCCAGAAGTGGGTGGGCGATTGTGGGGAATGCTCAAGGAACTCCTATCGTAGTGTTTCTGCCTCTTCGATTCTGCAAGACTGGTGAAAACGCGATTGCCAATTTTAGATTTAGTGTATATGAGGGGGCTGCGGGGATGCCGCCGATCGAAGGGTTAGCTGGACTGGACTGGACTGGACTGGACTGGCTGTACTAGTGCTGAGTACCTTGGACAAGTTGCTGCCTAGTCAGGCACGCCATTAAATCCTCCATTCGCGAATGGTGGTAAAGCTAAGTAAGGACCCCGTGTCGGACGTATTAGCGATGATTGGTCTTGTTCTTCCGCCTCCCGTCTCCTTCCCCTCATGCACATTGGGGAAAGCCGCCCCACCGATGAGGGGAAGAGAGATCCATGATCGGGGAGAGTCAGTCGCGATGCAGATCATGCAGGGCAGCCTTCTCCGCATCGGTCCGGAATGGCCGTCGTAGTCACGGAGTCCCCGCGACTTGGCGGCCGGGGGTCGGATCCTTTGGGATCCTTCAAGACGATTCATTTGAGGAATTGGATGCGAAGAAAGGTGGCAACATGGCAGAAACCTGGGAATTATGTGGACTTGTGCTGGTGTTTCTAGTCTGTTCTTGATAATATCCAACATGCAGATACAGCCCTCCTTTCCGTCCCACACAAACGGCATGCCAAGACACAACCATAACCAATGACAATCACACCTTGACTTGAATCCGCCGCCCGACCTTGGCGGTGCGCGCGGCCAGCAGCACCAGGGCCCCCAGCAGGATGGACACGCCCGCCCACATCTGCGCTCCGATGTAACCATGCGCCTTGGCAACAAGGGCACCCCCCAATGGCGGGCCTGTCAGACATGCGAAACTCACGATGGTGAACCCCATGCCGATCCGCGTTCCAGCCCTACTCAGGTCCGTAATCAAGCTCGACAGCGTCGGTGGCCACATGCCTTGGAGCCCGTTGGCGCAGAACCCGTACAACACCGCGAACACGTACAGCCCCGCCGACGAATCGACCGCCGCCCAACAGAGCATCAGCACCCCGGCGGCGACCCCCAGCGGGATGATGGTGTTGAGCGGGCCCAGATGGAAGGACGCCAAGTATGCGGGGATCAACCGACCCACGACGGCCGCGCCATTCAACACAATGATGAGGTTTGTGGACTCGGAGTAGCTGAGCCCAATGACCGACCGTCCGAATGCTCCCAGGTAGTACACGGCGAAATACATGCCCCAAAAGTTAAGCCAGATCCCGACGATGAAGAGAGTGTATAGGGGGTCGCGGAAGGCCGCCAGGTCCACGAGCGGGCCGGACTTGCGAGGCGGGAGTCGCGTCTGGAGGAGAGCCATGGACGGCAAACTGGTGGCCAGCATGACAAAGCCCACCACGCGCATCGTCCATCCAAACCCGAGGCTCGGGAGAAGACCTTTCACGAGGCCGGGGAACAGCATGCCTCCGGTGCCGCTGCCGACCAGGGCAAACGCCACTGCGAAGACGCGTCGTTGGTCAAAGTACGTGGCCACGAGGCCCATGGTTGGGCAGAACTGCAAGCCACTCCCTAGTCCCGTGCAGAGTCCCTGCGCGAGGAAGACCTGCCAATAGCGGCTGGAGAGCGAGGTCATGAAGACTCCTACCACCTGCAGGACCACGCCGGCGCAGAACACGGGGCGGAACAGGCCGGCGTCCAACGCGCGCCCGGAAAATGTGCCGACGAAGAAGATGAGGAAAATCTGGATGGACCCCACCCACGAGATGGCCGACTCGGATACCCCCAGATGGTTCTGGTAGTAGGATTGAAAGACGCCGAAGCTGGCCAGATAGCCCCAGGTGTTGAAACACACCAGGTGGCCCATGACCGATTGCATCCATGCCTTCCGTCCCCCATCCGGTGGTGGTTTGATCGTGGAAGCGGGGGAAGCAATGTCAGCCGGGGAGAAGTCATCTCTGCTGGTTTTGGTCATGGTGAATTTTGTAAGAGACCTGATGTGGCCGGTTTCGAGAGGGGCAAAGACGGTGAAATGTGACCCGATGGCTTTGGGGCGCTATTTCAACTTGCCAGTGGGGTCTCGTGGGCTCTACCACCGAGCCTATGCACTGTATTGTCGTAGAGAGACCACGTCTTACGTCTTCCCGCTTTGGACTATACGTGCTGTGGCCTTTCGCCCGAGAAAGTAAGCCCGAGGAAGTGTCCCTAGACGCATGCACAAGGCTATAGTGCAGAAGCTAGACTAGCCTAGCATGTGTGCTGAGAGGCTGCGATGATGCTATGAATAAACATCTTGATTGTGGGAAATTCCGCGGCGCTTACCTGAGCCCTCGGGGTTACCTAGCTCTTCTAACTAGCATGGATTGTCGTGGCAACGTATTTGCCAGGTGCACGGAGCCAAAGCTATCCCTGTGGTTATTGTTGGACCTTTCTCTGATCCCGCTTGAGCTACCTCCCTTGGTCTAGTCATTCGACTTGGGACCTCGCCAGACACCGTAGCCATAGTGAGGCAGACAGTATAGTTCACCAAAGCGCAAGGTTGCCTCATGGCAGATTGTCACTGGCAATTCCGTTATTGTTGGACATCGGGCCTAATAGTAGCGTGGTCAGACTACGGGTTGGTAGTATATATATCGCTGTTTTGGCAAGGATTCGCAAGGAAAGCTCTCACCTACGTGGGAACATGAGCGGAGCACATGATTTTAACATAAAATATTGTACTTCTAATACTACTCAATAAATCCAATGACTTAAAAGGACAAGCTTTATAATAGATTTAAGGTGGAACGATCTAAGAGTATCTCAAGCCCCCAGAAGACTATCTTCCAAAGATACCCCTAAGATGTAGAGATGTAAAGGTGCGTAAATTAAGAATGTCCATCAATATTTTTTTTTTTCAGAAGTGGCGCTGAACATGTCAAACCTCTCTTGGCTGGATTACCCCCAACAAAATGATCGGTGCCGTGACCTTATTGTCAAATTAGTCCAACTGGCCCACATCACAATCGTTACCGTTGTCGGTTCAAATGGATGATTCGAGATCTCCATATTCCATTCTCTTGATGTCATTCCAGTCTCAATCGTGATGTCCCATGTGTCATACAAGGGGTGCTATATGCAAGTCATGAAGCAGATATCCTGCTCCAACCATTTGTGACACGTGATACAAACGATCGTTTATATCAATACGATTTTCTGTCCGTCTATCTAGGACCTGGGAACGATCATAACATTCTCCCCATGAACTCGCACAGATGTCGAAAGGTGTGGTTGTACATTGAGCTTGAGGTTAGACACTACTAAATGCTGACAGAGAAAAGGGTTGGTCCGTCTTCGGGAAAGGCGACGACACGATACTACGATAGTACAGGATTGAGGTTCGACAAGATTGTGAGATTTGACGATGGACAATCCCTGAACTAAAATCGGAATGTCTACTATAGAATGTATCCTTCCCAATGTGTCAATAAATGTCCCACCAGAATTGTAGCATATGTCTATACCGTTAAAACCAAGACACTATGCTACAAGGTTTCGGTTCCCATAGGTTTATGAGCAGCATACAAATATCTTCCTGTTCTTTACGATGCGAAGCAAAAAGCACAAAGGATTTCCCGACAACGGCTTTGTTCCAAACGATTCAGAATTCGACTATCGAAGGAAAGAGCCGGGTTCCTCAGTTGACTAATATTAGGCAACATTAGAACTTAACCATGATAATCAACGGCCCAAGTCAGTCCATATTCAAAGGTCGTATGAGCGACGAAGTAATCAACATACAACCACACATCTACATCGTCATTTTCTGGATATAAGTAGCCACATCATAACCTGCTAGCCCATCCATCCACCAACAACATCGCACTCTCCAACCCATTAATCTCCTAAGCTATCTCAAGCCCTCTCGTGCAAGCTCTTTGACAATGAATCCCCTTTTTACCACCATCGCGGCTCTCGTTGCCACAGCCAATGCCTTGATTGCACTGCAACCCCCGGACACCAGGCTTCCACCCCAAGCAGGCCTCGAGATCAACCTCAGTCAACCGTACACACTCACCTGGAAGTACGTCCCTCCCACCAAAGTAATAGCCATCTACCATGGTACTGACCAGAAAAGCCATGACAACACCGAGACCGGAAACCTCTGCATCGACCTGGTGACCTACGTGAACTTCTGCCCCGAATCAGCCCGTATCGTCATAAATACCCCGATCGTAAACGACCAATACACCCTTACCCTCAGCGACATCCAGAGTAAGATGTTGACTGCCCAGACCCAAAACGGATGTCCTAATCAGCCCCAGAATCGGCCTATTGATAGGGGGTATGCTCTTGCTTCGGAATATTTTGAACCGAGAATACGGGGCTGACGGTGATTTAGTACTTACGACCTCTACTATAACCATTGCCCGACCAATCAACCAGATAGTGAAATGGGTATTAGTCAGGGATTTCAGCTTACCTGGTGAGCGGCTGTCACCTTTATCTCGCTCCCTTCTTCAGAGGGTAGATGTTGGAAGAGAGGGATCTTTGGCTTCGATGGGATTGAGGGGTCCGGAGTAGTCAGCTCGCTCTTCTACACCCTGGTTGGAGTCACTATTTCACCAGCTAGTGAATTCCTGGTTTTTAATTAGGTAGTGTGGTTAGAAAGGATACTCAGTCCTTGGTCAATGAATGGGGCTTTATATCCGTTGATTTCTTGATAAAGTTCGGTCATTGTTCAAGCACATTGAAGTACCACTCAGCAAACACCAAATGGAACTTCAGTACTGCCAGCCCGATTCCACACTCCGTACTTCGCTCCCTGCCCTAAACCTCGCTTCGCAAAGGCCTTCCAGATCTCGCAATGATTGGAGCCTTTCGTGAGTACCGTATCAGCGTCTATGATGGCGTCACGCGCTTGTATAAAGTTTGGATTACATGGTTGTCTAAAGTCGATTATATAACTCAGCAAATTTAATCAAGGCATTGCTAAAAGTATAGTACTTACAATGCCATCGCATCAACTATCAATTTCATGGTTAGATACTTCCCATCCGTAGGAACACCAGCACTCTGGAATATAGGCTTCGCGCCGTCGTTCATCCCATACTTATCAACCAAGTTCCACAGCACCTCGTACAACATCGTCGCCCAGACGGTACCAATCTTGTGTACAAGTCGCAAGCCATTGACGCTTGTATATGTCAGAGGATTTGTGGTCAGCGATGTGGAGTAGGGGTAGTCGCGAATGCCGGCCTGTTTATTTGAGGCCCACGGGCTCATTGTATAGTCCGTTAAGCGGGTATCATTGGGCTTCAGGCGCAGAGCGGTGGCCATGAAGTCGCCCCAGCCTTCGCCCATCCCCCCGGGCTCGAGGCCGGTCAGGCATTTGGTATTGGCGGGGCCACCGGTTAGGCGATTGGATACTGTAATTGATATTATTAGTCTGAGTATTCGGAAGTTGGGTAAGGAGAACGAAGGGGGCGTACGGCCGTGGGTGTACTCATGGATAATTAAGCCGAAGTCGAACGCTCCATCGCGTTTAGGGATCGACCAGGTCCAGATCTGCATGCGCATGCGACCGGGCTGTCCATCCGGGGGAGTGGCGAAGCTGGCGCCGTTGATGCCTTGGCCATCCTGGACATCCAGAACCACATAGTCGTGTCCGATCCCGCCTTTGCCGTTGTTGTTCCATTGGAAGTTGCCTGCTTTCTCGGTGAACCCCAGGGTATAAAGTAGGTCGTGGTAGGTGTTGGCGGTGTAGAATAACTGGACGATCGAAGCATTGATGTATGACGTAGGAGGGGACATGGATGGAGAATATGGGTATTCGAACTGGTCGTCTGGGCTGTTAGGGCGAAAATTGTTCATATATGGCTCGTGGCCGGTGGGATTGGATTGCGCAATAGCATTGTTGCCGTGTGTGGTGGTGTAGTTGGTGGTTCCGTCGCTGATCCAGGTGAAGGGCGAGGAATATAAATCCCAGGGGTCATGGATGATGGTGCGACGGCCCTCGGTTGGATCGCTAAGGCCCCATTTGCTATATTGACCCCTCATTAGCTATTGTTTGCATGATCCACGGGTTCTTACTATTTGCTTACTAGATTTCATAGCTAGCGTCAGCGACGTAGTCAACAACACCGTGGATGTGGTCGCTGTTGTTCGCGTCCACATATGTTAAGAGCCAATTCCTACCGATATCCGTCTCTACTCTCCAGGTAAGGGCAAGGCTTCCGTCGGACTTGATAAAATAGACTAGCTTTGCGGTTGGGTCAGAGACCACTCCGGATGTGCCCCGGAATTTATAAAGGTTTTTCTCTGTGATCAGATCGGCCGATACTCGTCCCACGCCGATGGAGAGCTTCAGGTTGTTTGAGGCACTTTTAATAGCTGCCACTGGATCAGAGACGTCCTGTTGTATCGCCGGGTTGGCTTCGGGGGGGCTTTTCGTATAGAAGGAATTGCCGTAGGAAAAGATGTGTCCATCTTTCCGGACCTACTTATATATTAGATACGTATGGTATAGAGAAGGAAGTATACCCACGTTAACATTGAAGTCAGCATTGTCAATATCGATGCCATGAATGGTCTGGCGGAAGTTGATATGGGCCACGCCGTTATCACCAACGTAGTCATCCTCTACAATACGGAAGGTGGCATTCGGAAAAATGCTTTGGACAAGATGCGTCGCGGTTTCGATGTAGATCTGGTCTCCATAATTGATGGATGTGCTCGCAGTCGCTAACTGACTGGAGTTTACATACTCTGCCCTTGCCGTCAACCGGAACGGGTTTAAATTGACAATGCGATGGTTCGAGCCGCTTGTACTTTGGGAGGAATGAGAAAATGTGGCCAAAGTAAGAACAATAGCACCGATGAGGAGCTTCTGCATCATAACGAATCACCGAAATGATTGTGAAATGGAAGAAAAAGGAGAAACCAGTGCTTTTTCTGATACTATGTCTTCACCCGAGTCGGCGTTTATTTTCTCCTATTTATATGAGACTCCTATAAGGGGGTTATAGGTCCATGGCGTCATCGTATTAACCTCGTGATACAGCATCTCTCAAAGAATTAAGGTTTTGGAATGTAGACCATCCTTCTTGTAACGACTGAGAAGATCATGCGGATCTCAGTTTTCATATACAAGGATACAACCTTGGAAGTAATGTAACCCGCTCGTGGGTGTGCGTACAACATGTAATGCTTCATTGGACACTACGAACAGCAGGGAGGTGAATATCAAATCAGAGGATGGGGGAGGACCCCTGACATGTGGATTGATTTTATGCAACTCTTCCAGGTGGTTGTCAGTTTGATGATCATCTGCCCAGTTGCAATGTTTGAAATTACGTCTTTTTTGATTGCTTCGGGAAAGTGGCTTCCCGCGACGGCTACCACCCAGACCAGTTAAAACACGGGTCGTGGTTAAAGTGGTTTCCATGCAGCCAATCAGGAGTATATTCAACGTTGTGCAAATAAAGCTGCCCGCAATTAGTTTTCTGCAGTAATCCTGCTTACCCACATTATCGTGGGGAAGTCATGGGAGAGGCAAAGTGGATGTTATTCTACTAATCGTTGTATTCGCCTGGGACTAATACTGTGTATGAACCATATCAAAGTTTGGCTGAGTTAACTATCTACTTCGCAAGTATGAATTGATTCGCTCTGACAACTGGAAATCTGCCAATCCTTTTCAGGAAATGTATGGGTGACTCGTTACTTGTCATTGGAAGATATCTGCTGTCGCCCTCCCGGGGAAGGTTGCACAATATCCACAGTTTAGTACTACAACGGGTCAGCTTAGCAGGTGACAAGATGTTTATCTATTAATGGAGATTGAATGTTTCGCTCGGGTGACTAAAGCAGGGAACACCTTTCCAGGTAGATAGTCTAGATAAGATTCACGCAGAATTCAAGGACTCACACAGAAGGAAGCTACATGCGTATTATTACCACTAGGGTTAATGCTAAATACGATAAACTAGGGTTTATTAGGGTTTATTAGGGTTTTATTAGGGTTTTTATTAGGGTTTATTAGGGTTTATTAGGGTTTATTAGGGTTTTAGGGTTTATTAGGGTTTATTAGGGTTTATTAGGGTTT